CAAGCCACACGTGCGTCGCTCAGTGTGGCGCACAGCTGAGACTGCACGAAACGGCCAAGTTGGACCCCCCTTTTGATTGCAAGACATGTGGCTGGTGACCACTAGTACTTGGGCAAGCTGGGCTACAACAATGCAGATTCAGGCGTAACATCTCTTTCTCCGTCCTCCGTCATACGACGCGCCGTGAAACGTGATTCGTCAAGCTGTCAGTCGTTTTGCTAATGCCCAAGATATGCATGAATGTCCGGCGCTCTCCCGTCATGCCATGTCAAGGCCATGTGTTGAGCTCTTAGCAGTTGTGATTATGGCCAGTGCATACAATGGCCCCGTGGAATGGCCCAAGTGGCTCCTCTAGGCTGACGAGATTATGCTAGTGCAAAGTGTTGAGGCCTGAAAGAGGATATCTTGTTGCTGCCACTGGCTGGATATTCGGTACCTTATTCATTGTCTTTTGTCTACTACATATGCAGATATGCAGCCTGCAGCATTCTGCGTATTGCAAACAGTAGGTATTCTGCAATGCCACGCATGCTGGGCCGCTTTGCAGGCCCCAGTACATGCAGCTGTTTCAACGATGCACCCTACGTACATGTTCATATTGACAGCACAGCTTGCTAGCACAAGATGACGCCCGAGTGATGCAGTCACTTTTCTTTATTCTCTATGTGTCTGTCTATCTAACTTGCAAAGCAGTCACATAGTCGGGCTCTCTTCTCCGCCTATAGCTTCTCATACCCGAGACAGCGTCAAGAGGACGCTTTCGCCAGGTCCCAGGTTGGCCTTGACGCCGCTCTTCTGACTGCCCAGGTCCTTGTTGTTCCAAACGTCATGGACACGATAAGTTCCCTTGATCCCCAGGTCCTTCCATGAAGCTGAAACCAACTCGACATCGGTGCTGGTGCCGTTGAATCCTCCTTGGCCGAGGTCGGGGCCGTAGTTGGCGAGCACGACAACAGCTTGGCCGTTGGGAGCAGGTCCTGCGATCCAGGCCTGGAGTTGTTGGGAGTCTTGTCCACCGGTGCCGGGGTTGCGCGGCTGCATGGGATACTGTGCAGTAAAGGTGGCCACAGCCTGTGCCGCTTTGTTAGTTAGCAGGTTCACGCCAAACTTGTCGAGATTGGTGAGATCAGAGCCCAGGATCAGGTTGGCGCCTGCTCCGATGTAGTGCGTCATGACGGTCTGTCGCTGTGCGTCTGTGATACCGGAAGTTGTGGCGTTGTTGCCGACAAGAAGGTTATCCATGTCGGGGTAGATGTTTAAGTGGTCAAACAGCTGCAAGCCGGCAACGATAAATTGGCGGTAGTTATCAAAGGCTCGTTGAACAGTAGCCCACGATACAAACGACGGCTGACCGCTGTTGTTGAGGTCCTGGTCGGTTCTCATGGAATCGGCATTTGAGTTCCAAATGTTAAAATACTTTTGGGTCCGGTCAAGCTTCCAAGAAATGTCAAGGCGCATCTTGCGGCCAGCTTGCTTGATAGCCTTGTGCCATGCGATGACGGAGCCGCTTCCATCAGTAGGGAGCATTTGGCCATTATCAGGCGAGCCGGGAGTGACGAAGTCGAGTTTCACAAAATCGACTCCCCTAACAGCATCATTATCAAGTCAGTTCAAGTAGAGAGTGACAGCAACAGAGGAAAAGTAACAACATGCGCTTGGCACTTACCACGAAGCAAACAAATCCGCGCAAGAGTTGTGCCACAGCTGCGCGGCCGGCTGCGTGAAGTCGAAAATACATCTTACAAGACCCTCGTTACCATGGCAAACATCGCCAATCTTGACATCCGTGTGAATAATGGTCTTGTTGACATCTGCGAGGAAAGCACCTGGCACAATGTAGACGCCCATCTTCAGACCCTTGCTGTGAAGATGGTCTGCCAATTTGGGAATATCAAAGACCGTATCGTCGTAAATGATGCGGCCATACTCATCGCCGTTTCCTCCAACAGACCAACCCGAGTCCAAGCTGCAGGTGTCGTATCCAGGAAGACCGACCAGACGATCACACTGTTCAATGACATGCTCTTGATCAAATTTGAAACTGGGAAGAGTCAGGGGATTTGCTTGGATGCCGAATGAGTTCCACCCACGGGCAGAGCTGCGGAATCCATTGGGCGTTTCCTTGTAGGAGATGATCTTGAGTGGTGCTGCGCCTTGGTTTTGCGTCCGTTTGGCATTGGGAGCTGCCACGGCACCGGTTGCGCTCAACCCGAGCAGCAGCGCTGAAAAGAGGTTGCTTGCCATGATTGATATCTGCAATAGACGAAGCCAAATTTGTTTAAATGACAAAAAATGGGGAGAGGGTCTATGGCGAGTTAATATCTCTCTGAGAAGGTATCAATGGAGTTGAGTTGACGCACTGCAAGCCCTTGATCTAGAACATCCGTGCCAGATTTGAAAAGACACAGTCAAGCTCCAACGCAGCTATTTTATACCATTTCTCATTACGTATTATAATACTACTCTGCGAGCAGAAACGAATGTTCATGACTGCTCTTTGGACGGAATTAATCTATCCGGCGGTATGTTCTCGGCACCTCGCAGCGGAGGATTGCTCGGCTTCTGCACCTTACGCCAAGGCTTACTGAAAGACGAGAGGATCAAAGCTCCGTATAATGGCAGTGAATGTATGTTCTAGGCCACGATAATAGAGAAATAAGCTATGACGATTCCGCACTGTTGGGTTGCACCGATCTAATGCGGAGGTGAGTATGGGGAATTCCTGGGGTTCGATGCGGAGATGATGCTACCCCTGGAGTTGTTACCACCGGGGATTTAGCCATTCTGTGCCGTCTGGGGTACTGCTGAAGGCATCTTGGCCGCAACCACTACTAGATTTAGGGAGTTTAGTCGTGTTTGTCATTTGGCAATAATGCGATTTCTAGCCGACGGAAGCTATAAATCCAACTAAGAGGACTAATTGGGATGAAAGGGCAAAGGAACGGAAAAGCGCGGAGAGGTCTTGGACGGAAAAACCAGAGGCGGAAAAGCTTCGAGGCCATTTGCCGGGTGAAATGTTTGGCCGCCCAATCACGGCTAACTTTTCGCTGGAGGTATGGCTTTACGAGTGCTTCGTCCAGGTGTTTGATTCCGTTACGCAAGACCCAATTCCATCACCAGACAGAATCTTTGTTGAAACCGGGCCATGCCTGGGCTCAGTATACTCTAATCTATCTCATCATGCTCTTCAACTCGTCATTCAGGTGCCTTGAATACTTCCGACTCCTCAGCCAGGTCTCTATTTCATCTGGCTGAGGCTAAGAAACACTCCCCAGCCAAGCCCAGCAATGCTCCCAACGAGCTGTCGGTAGTCGAACGGCACGACAACCAAGTTCAGTAGGCAGACGAGTGGCCATACTCGATATCCCGCAAATAACATGGGCCAGAAGTCCTACAGCTCTCGATCAGTTCCTCTGGATCCCAATCTCATTAGACTTCGATGGGAGCCCTGCAATACTCACGCTTACAACGCTACTCAGGATACCGTCATAACTCTGAAGATTCATTTGGCCCATCAGGCAGATGAACAGGAGCGTGTTGACTGGTGCTCCAAGTCCTTGATCTAGGAAGAACTTGGCTGCCGTATTGGCAATGTTGAGCTTACCACCGGCCACTGCATCTTGAGGTGGAGATGGAGATGGTTTATCCTTCAGAATTTGGGCTTCTTCCTTTGGCTCTGTCGTGGTCGGAAAGGTTTGCTCCAGGAACTCCTGCCATCTATAGTTGGGAGGCGTTGTGAGCACCGTGTATACGATGAAGCGCAGTATGGAAGATACATCAATCTCATCGACAGCCTTGCAGACGAAGACCGGGCTATTAGCAATGCCATCCAACAATGAATCTCACAACATTCCCACTAACCCCTTTGCGATACGCCAAAATGCCTTGAGCAAATACCCCGGACAATGCGTTTAGCACAGTGGCCTGAACAGTTGCGGTGGTGACTTTGGAATCCATTGCATCGATAGCTCGACTCTTCTTGTTTTTTTAGCTGCGCTATTCGAGACTATTCGAGAGAAACAAATCGCCAACCAGTCTTACAACGGATTCTCGAATGTGTACGGTTCCCAAAGGGGGCACTCCCGGAGAACAAAGGCTTCTACCAAGTGTCTCTATTCTCCGTGAGATACCCCGAGATATCATTGCTGCCCCCGGATCTATTGGTCGTGTCGCCATTCAGGTGCTAGAGGGGCATCACGGGTACTTTGGGCTTGCTACCGTCATGATACATCCAGTTTGAGTTCGGCAATACTTCCGAAGCCGACTGTTATAATGCTTGCAGCAGGCATATGTCGCATGATCGCCTTGGGGGCGTGCCATACTCAGACCCAGCTAGCTGGGCTTATTGGACGACCTCAACACAGAATTACGCAGGATTGCATAAAGAAATCCAAAAGGGGAAATTATCGGCGCACGAACTCTGCTATGCGAATCAAATCACCAGCACCTCCATGCCTATGCAGACTGTACTCGTTTACCGCCAAAGAATAGTCGGCCCGGGGTAAATACTCCATGCTTTTTACAAGGCTGGCTTGACCCTGGTAGGGAATGGCCAATTGCGGGGTGGAACAGATGAGCCGTGTTGCAACACCCATGTAAGCTGATTCGACGAAAGCAAAGAACTTTTTTTCTTCTGGCAGCAGAAACAAGGTCTCTTTGGTATCGCTCCGGATGAAGAGGAAGAGCTAGTCGCTATTGAGGCTGTATTCCTATGAGGTGTGGCAAGTTGGCGAGTCTATAAAGCAGGGCATCGTCACGATGTTTGTGCTTCTTCCTTGACATTTGGCTGGTGCCACCGAAAACGGGTGAGACAAGGTATCACATCGGCCAAGATAAGACTAAGACTTGCATAGTCTTTTCTTGCGTCTCGCTTACCGACATTTATAAGCTCTTTGCTTCTTTCTTTTCTTATTCTTCTTTTTTACTCTTGCATATAAGGAGGACTCTACTTTCGATCGCCCAGATTCTCCACCATAAAACGTGGCCGCCAAAACGCCATCATGGAGAAGTCAAATCTGGGGGTGACCCACACAGAAGATCTTCCTATTGAAGGCGATGAGAAATACAATATCAACGAAATCACAGACAAGGCGAAGCAGGGCGCTGAGGCCGAGCATAATCTGGCTCCCCTCCAGGCCCTCCGCCTCTATCCCAAAGCCATCTTCTGGTGTCTAGTTGTGTCCGCCTGTGTCATCATGGAGGGCTACGACACCAATCTCCTAGGCAACTTTTACGCATATCCCGAATTTGCCAAGAAATACGGCAAATTCAACGAGGGTTCTGGCAACTACCAGCTTACGGCTCCTTGGCAGGCTGGCCTGGGCAATGCTTCCGGCGTTGGCTCCTTCTTTGGCACGCTTCTCAATGGCTATCTCGTAATGAAGTTTGGCCATGTGCGAGTTATCCTGGCCTCTCTTGTGGCGTTGAGCGCATTTATCTTCATCGTCTTCTTTGCGCCAAACACCAAGGTTCTCCTGGTCGGTGAGCTTCTGTGTGGCCTTCCTTGGGGTATCTTTGCCACGACTGCCCCGGCGTATGCCTCCGAGGTTCTACCAATGACTCTGCGAGTGTATCTAACCAGCTGGACGAACATGTGCTTTATCATTGGACAGCTTATCTCAGCGGGCATCATGGCTGGCCTCGTCAACAACACAACTGAGTGGTCGTACAGAGTGCCTTTTGCCATTCAATGGTTTTGGCCAGTTGTTTTATTCCCCATCATCTGGTTTGCTCCAGACTCGCCTTGGCATCTCGTCCGCCAGGGACGTCACGAGGAGGCCAAGGAGTCGTTGAGAAAGCTACGCTCAAACCCTTCTGAAGAAGAGCTGCAGGAGAGCCTCAACTTAATCATCTACACCAACAACCTAGAGGAGCAGTTAGAGGTGGGCACATCCTACTGGGACTGTTTCAAGGGCTTTGAACTTCGCCGAACAGAGATTGCCTGCGTTGTGTTTGCCGGTCAAGTGCTCTCAGGCCTCAACTTTGCCTACAACTCGACCTACTTCTTCCAACAGGTTGGCCTCACCACAGCCCAGACCTACCACCTCAACGTCGGTGGAAACGGCATGGCTCTGTTCGGCACCATTGTTTCTTGGATCTTCGTCATGCCGTATGTCGGACGCCGCACCGCGTATGTCACTGGCATGTTTATCATGTCAATCATTCTAATCATCATTGGTGGCCTTAACGCCAAGACTAGTGACCACAGCATCGGCATGGCTCAGGCTGTGTTGACCCTCATCTGGACTTTTGTCTTCCAGCTCTCCGCCGGACAGCTTGGCTGGGCATTGCCAGCAGAGCTCGGGTCCACGCGCCTTCGTCAAAAGACTGTGTGTTTGGCTCGCAATGCGTACGCTATTACTAGTATCATCGCCGGCGTCCTGCAGCCGTACTTTATGAACCCAACTGAGTGGAATCTCAAGGGCTACACGGGCTTTGTTTGGGGAGGTACTGCCTTTATCACCTTTATTTGGGCGTACTTTCGGCTGCCAGAATCCAAGGACCGAACTTATGAGGAGTTGGATATTTTGTTTGCGAGAAGAGTGCCGGCGCGGAAATTTGCGAGCTACAAGATTGACGCTTTTCAGAACGATGCTCTGCCATGAGGGATGAACAGGTGGAAGGCACCATGTCTATGCTGGTATTGTGGAAGATGTTTGTGTAGTAGAGCTATGCTAATGAGGAATGAATTATTCAATTTTAGGTGCTTTTGCCTTTTGCAAGAACAATGAAGCAGACGCAAAAATGATATCCAGTGTACTGTTCTAAGAAATGACTTCCAGAATCGCCAGTGTCGACTAGCACGCTGTGTGACTAGAAAAAGCCTTCGGGTCTTTTATATTTGGACAGACTTGGCTTCGGCCAACTCTACCCCAGATTTGCTTTTTTCAGCAATGTTACCTAGTAGAATCTAGTACCTTGTTATTGCACTAGGATCTCACTAACAAGGCATGTCTCCCCAGATCTCTTAGCTTAAATCTGCAATATCCAGGCCATGTGGAGTCGCCAGCTTTTGTTCCGAATAAACTCCCACGGGATCCCACCCAATCTCTATTGACGATAAATTCCCCTAACAGTGGTTTCATCTACGAATCACAGACGCCTCCGATTAATTGACCGCAACGAACGGCAGCGGGGAAAATTGGAGGTGAGAATGATATGGAGAATAGCATGAGAGCTTTGACTGCTGCCTGATAACAGCTTCTTGGTGTCGTTATCTCTTCTTTGTAGGGTTTTTGAGCATATCAGTGAAAGCAGTACGGCTTTTTGCCTTTCGATACACAAATGGCCTCCCTGAATTAGATAGTGGGTGGAGGTGGGATTGGTTATATTATATCAGCGACGCAGTCATAAACCGGAGATTCCGTTTCCCCTCCTCCTCCTACTTATTTTCATCTCCTTTCCCCGTCGGCTCTTCTCGTCTTTTACCATTGGATTTGCTCTCTCTTTTCTTCATTCTCTTTTTACGTGGTCTCAATACAGTCACAAAAAGATGAGGTTTCCAACGGAAGGGCTCCTCGTTGCCCTCTCCGCAAGCGGCGTTCGAGCCGCCAGAAACGGGCTGGCGAGAACTCCTCAGATGGGATGGGTATGTAACTGTTCAAACGTTTATCACTCTCTTTATACTTGTGATAAGATCAAGGAAGAACAAGACTCATGTGGAATCTTCATCAACAGAACAACTGGAACACATTTGCCTGCTCCGTCTCCTCCACCCTCCTCCTCGACACCTCCAAGCTACTCACGGAATACGGCCTGCAAGACTTGGGCTACAAATACGTCGTGCTAGACGACTGCTGGTCCTCCGGCCGAGACGACAACGGCAAGCTCGTGGCCGACAGCGACAAGTTTCCCGACGGGATGGGCGCCGTGGCGGATGCGCTGCACGAGCAGGGGTTCCTGTTTGGCATGTACTCGAGCGCGGGCGAGATGACGTGCGCACGATATGGTGAGAAGAGACCTCGAAAAAGGGTTCAAGTTGCTGATAAGGTAACGACGGAAATATAGCCGGATCGCTCGACTACGAAGAGGCCGACGCGCAGAGCTTCGCCGACTGGGGCGTCGACTACCTCAAGTACGACAACTGCTACCACATGGGTCGCTTCGGCACGCCGCTCGTGTCATTTAACCGCTTCAACGCCATGGCCGAGGCCATCAAGAAGACGGGACGGTCCATCCTGTACAGCCTGTGCAGCTGGGGCGAGGACTATGTCCACACTGTAAGCCAATCAAGACCAACTTCACCCCCCCTCACTTGTATACGCGCACCAATGCGAGAGAAGAGAAGACGAAGAAGACGAAGAAGACGGAGAGACAGGAAGGCTAATTCCCCGTCGCACAATGGGATAGTGGGGAGGATCCATTGCCAATTCATGGCGCATCTCGGGCGACATCTACGACTCGTTTGCGCGTCCCGACGACCTGTGCTCGTGCACCAATGCCGCCGACCCGGAATGCATCGCGCCCGGCACGCACTGCTCCGTGCTGGCCATCATCAACAAGGTGGCGCCGTACATTGATCGGGGGCTGCCGGGGGGGTGGAACGACCTGGACATGCTCGAGGTTGGCCACGGCGGCATGACTGAAGAAGAGGTGAGCAACAACACAGCGGCTTGGAGTAATGTAGCATCTCCATGTTGTTGAAGAGAGAATTCGGGGGAAGCACAGCTCAAGATTCCACTTACACGGGACTAACTCTGTGACACAGTACAAAGCGCACTTCTCCATGTGGGCGGCCCTCAAGTCCCCCCTGCTCCTCGGCAACGACCTGCGCTCCATGACGGCCTCGTCGCTCGCCATCGTCAACAACCCCGCCATCATCGCCCTCAACCAGGACCCCCGCGGCCGCGCCGTCCAGCGCATCCAGCGCAATCTCGACGTGCCGGTGGACCGCCACGGCGTCGGCGAGGCGCACGTCTGGAGCGGGCCGCTGGCCAACGGCGACCAGGTCGTCATCTTCCTCAACGCCGCCGATGCGGACCTCGACATGGCCGCCGCGCTCGAGGACATCTTCATCATGGACGGCGTGGGCACCGCCCCACAGATCCGGCAGGACTGGGCCATTCATGACCTGTGGGGCAATTCTGCGCGCATGAGCACCGATGACGCCCAGGCGCTGCTGGATGCCAAGGGCGCGGACGCGAGGAGGGAGTTTTTGCGGAGCAAGGTCGACTGGTACAATGCTACGGAGGTGCCCTACGCCGAGGGATTGGAGCGGCGAGATTCGAGGTTGTTTGGTGAGCGGATCGGTACTGTTGAGGCGGGCGGCGAGATCAAGGTGCGTGTGCAGAGACATTCTGCAAAGGTGTTTAGACTGCAGAGCATTAGCGGGCAAGATTCTGCGAGGAAGAGTCTTTTGAGGGATGAGCTATGAAATAGTGAAGAAAGCTGGATGGGCAGCCAGTTCGGGGTTTCACTCATTGAAACGGAAAGAGAGAGCGAGATGAGTATTCCAATGATTAGAGAAGAACATCTCTGTTTGATTTGCGAGAGTTGACAGAAACCGCACAGGCATCATAAAGCATATACATAGACATAACTCATAGAACATTAATCGCTCCGCAGTAATTCCCACCATGACCAAGAAAAGAATAATCCGTCTCTCCAAAAAAAAGTATCCAAAAGGAAGGAAAAAGACACGCTTGAGGCATGAATCCAGATGTGAATCTTATGCAATATCCACCTGTCCTGCTATATGCACCTGCTCAGCGTCAAACGGCGAATCGTCACACGAGAGCGTCATAAACGATGCCGCGCCAGGCTCCAGCATTGTCAAATCGCATGCATCTTGCCAGCTTCCCGTACTGCTCGACGACTCGTCTCCCTGTGTAGCCAAGTCCCCCACAGTCTCTGGTACCTCCTCCAGAAGTGCCGGCCAGTGGACGTCGATGCTGGCAATGGGGTTTGAAAAGCCGAGAATCATTTCAGAATGCTTGAGGAGCTTCGGTAATAAGTGAGATTGACATCCGCGGATGCGGCCGAGGAACTTGGTCACTGAGACTAGGAGATCCTGGGGTCCGAATTCGAAAGATGGCATGGGTGAAGCAGACATGGAGGCATCTGCGAGACTCATTCCAATGTCAAAGAGTTTTTGTTCCTTCAAGTCATAGATAGTCAGCTTTCAATTATTAGCCTCGCATTTCTCATGGAAAACTTACAATAGCGATTCCATGACAGTCCTTTGAGCTTTGGCTCACAGACCCCAACGCCTTCATGATGGACTTGCCAGCATCAAACGGCAAACCAAGCGCAGGCACCAGGCCCTGCCCGTACACAAGATTCGGCTTGGAACCAAAGGCAAGCCGCCACATGGACACGCGGAGCCACTGCTGCGTGACGAGCGTGTCGAATCTCTGGCTTTCCATGACGGATTCTGCCGGCTGCACGGCGGAGAGCTTGTTGCTTATCGAATGGCTGAGGGCGACGCCCTGTGGCTGGCATCCGTCGGTATGAGGCTGCCACTCGTAGAGAGAGCACGGCAGCAGCTCGAAGAGGCGGACGTGGTTTACAAAGTCGTGCATGACAATGGGGCAGTCTGAGTCGACAATCTGTGGCTTTGAGATTGTGTTTCGCAGCATCACTGGCCGTCGGTGTTGAAGAGCATATGTCCTGTAACGATTTGTAGATTAGTCTCCAAAGCTTCGTATACATAAATAAAAGGCCAACATGCTCAAAACAGCTCACCTCTCCGTCACAAACAACAACCAAAATATCCGCCGTCTCATTTCCCGCTCGTTCTCTGAGAGGTTGCCATAAGCCGACTCGCTGTGCAGCCCTATCGACAGAGCCAGAGATATCGCCTGATTCAAGTAAAACCAGGCATGTGAGTGCTTTTCCAGATTTCCGTAGCCCGCAAAGAGGAAGAAAGAGGTCAACAGCGTGTCCAGGCTCAAGTCATCCACCACGTTGAACTGCAACCGGGCCTGCTCAGCAGCGGCCAGCAGCGCCTCGCCCGTGAGAGGCGAGTCCAGAGAGGTGTTGATGCCAACTGAAGTTTCATCATACTCTTCTGCGTTATCCAACTTTAGCTGAATCCGCGTTGCGGCACAGAGAGACAGCAGAAAGGCATAACGCGAAGGAGACAGCTCGTCCAGGCGCAGCGAGTCCGCCAGAAGCTCCCTGTCGTTGATGACGGGCATGATGGGGAACAAGTGCTTCATAAACACCTGCACATGCGCCGCCAGGGCCACCGCCAGTCTCTGCTTGTCATGCTCCGTGGCGATCCCCGACGCAGACGCAAGAGCCAAGAGCGGATTGTGCTGCCCGCCAGATCCTGCTGCTCCGCGACTCCTATTCGATTCCTCCAGGGCGTTGAACTGGATCTGCGTCGCCGGCGTGCTGACGTCGAAGTGGTTCTTATCCGGCTCCGTGAGGCCCTGCCTGATCTGCGACAATCGACGGCCTTTGCCTCCTCGCGGTCCTTTGCGGCGAAGCGTGTGCAAGTAGCGGCAGGGAATGGACGAGACGACGCAGTTGCTGCAGGGCAGGCCGCGATCGCACTTCATCTTGCGGAAGCGGCAGTTGTCGCAGACTTGCTGCGGCGGCTTCTGCGTGGGGGGCGCCGTGGTCGACATCGTGTAAGACTATCAAAGTAAGACTATCAAAAGGCGATAAATAGAGGCGGTGTTGAAAGTGAGATGAAGATGCAACAACAACAGCTATAAAGGCAGCTGTGCAATGTACGGCAGCTCTCTCTCTCTCTCTCTCTCTCTCTCCTATATCGGACAATTACTTGAATTCTCCAGATCACCAAGCACAAAGCAGCCAGCTCAATCCCCAGACTCGCAATTGGCAGTCAGTAAAGGCCCTTTTGCGAGAAGCAAGAGTTGAAGTCGAAAGACGATATCCACAGAAGCTTGAAAGACAAGAAAATACTGTCTCAAGGTAAACGATTCTCCTCCTAAACCAGCCCTAACAAGGCAAAAGAAGAAAACAGAAGGCAAAAACAAGAGCTTCCTTTTCCCGACGGCTCACTTTCCACAGCTTGTCAGGTCAGGCCAGCGTCGCAGTGCATCTCACACGCCACCCCCGCAGCGTTACCGAAATGCAACCATCGCCTTTCACCTCTCGCTTTTCCCCCTTCCGCTAGACTTGATGTTTTTTTCTTCTTCCCTAGTTTAGGTGACTGCTACCTGTCTAGGCACGTTTGCCCAGCTTTCTCCAATAAATGCAACGCGTTCACCGTTTCGGCCAAGACAAACCTTTTCCGACGCTCCAGTCCAAGTAAGTGCTGATGGTAGTGGGGGGAAAGCGGCAGCTCTAGGAAAAACAGGGCTGCTTCGACTAGCTTTTTGGGGAAATACTCGGGTTTCCCAGCCGTAGATTATAGGCCTAACGGCGAGCCAAAGCCCAATTCGCAGTGCGGAGAAAGATGCTTCTGCGGGGGTGGCTCTGCTTTGCCAATTGGACCTCTGCTGGACACATGCAAACATGGGCTTCCGGATCGTGGGCCCAGGGGTACGCCGAGCCGGAGCGGCGATCCAGAGCCGTTTTGGTGGTGTGAGCGTGCAGGGGCATATGTCATCCTACATTGCGGTGTTGGTAGTACATAGAAGCAGTAATAGTAAACTGTGGAAAAACTATGAGGGTAGGGAATCGGAAAAGCATTCCAGCTATACACGATTCATCCGGCCAAGGGGAAAACATCCCAGACTCGGTAGCCGCCATCCGTCTTGCAGCTCTACTTCGCGGCATGGATGATGCTTCCAGGTTGAGTCATGTGAGTGGAAGATTCAAAGTCGTGTGGTTGTGCGTTCCAGAGCTTAGTCACTTCCTGCAATGCACCTCGGCTGACTAGCTCATCTTGGATACCGCCAAGCAATATTTACAATATGCTTACTTCGATAGCACCTTGCTTGGGTGCCTGTCTCCTATCCCTTAATCTCTGGGCTGACTGCTTGATAGGATACTTGGAATACGATACGAGAGACAGGGGACATGAGTAATCAAGGTATACAGCAGCCATATCTATCTTCGTCAGAAGAATTCGTTCAGGATTAATCACAACAAAACATCACATCAAGACATCACTTATCCAAAGTAAAACAGAGTCGAGCTGGCCAGGCATAATCGGCAAGTCTATTGCTATGTAAAGCCATATCTGAGAGGAGGTGTAAGTGACAAAAGGAGATGAAGTGAATGTGTCTGTGGGGGGCTGAGAGAGTAATAAAAAAAGCTAGTATGTAGTGTAAAAAAGAGTTCATGCAAAAGATGCTGCAGGGCCGGCACGCCAGCCTCAGCGCCTTGATTCCCGAAAATTCTAATTCAATCCAAAGAAACCCGAATTTTGATCATGCTTTTTTCCTCCACTCCCTCCATGATGAAATATAAGACAAGAATAAACCGATTTCCGCCCTTCGTTGTACTCATAAGCGTACAGCAGGGCTCGTTGTGAACGCAATATAAAAAATCATGAACCACCTGTCCCAGTGTTTTTTTGGTTTTGTATCAAAACAAATCAAAATTACAAGTACCGAAATAAAGAAACAAGAAATTGTGCAAGCCTCACTCGCTGTGAACACTTATACGCATCACAGTGGTGGTCTTCCAATCTGAACAAACTGCTCAAGTCTTCGTAGCTTGCCGCGAGACTGAGTGTTTTGGCTCCTCAGCTAGGTGCCTTCCCATGGGAATGGGACAGGATTACACCTCGTGGTGAGGGTTGCTGGTTGTCGATCCTCGTTGGCGTCGACCGACGCTAAGGCCTCGGCCAGGGACTTGAACCGAGGGGTGCAGGTGGAGTGTGTCCTCGTTGTTGCGGCTCACATCGAAGCTGGGGCCCCGGTAGCTGGACTGGCGACCAACAGACGTTCCCTCCTCCTGATGAGCGCCAAACTGAGATCCTGGGACTCCAGTTTGGGCCTCCTCATCATAGGTCTGGATTCTAGGGCTTGTGGGGAATGTTCCATTGTTGCTGTCCGAAGGTGTAAGTCCGGTCAGGCCCTCGCCCGCTCGTCGGCGGCCGCCATGCTGGCTGCTCTCCTTCCTCAGAAGATCCGGTTGGTCGCCTGGGTCTCTGGATGCGATTGAGCGGTTATCAGTATCCCATACACCCATGGTTTCGACGGCGAGGTTTCGGTTCGTATTGAGCGCAGAGGCTGCATTCTTCTCCGACTGCATCTGCTCCTCTGGGGTCTGGTGCATTGTCGGTACCATGCGCCCGGCATCGGTTGCCTGGGCTGCCTTGTCCCGACTCTCAGCAGCCCAGGCGTCGGTCACGGCCACAGAGTAAGTAGGATTGGTGGGCCCACCGAGAGCCTCGCCACCGCCGCCAGGAGCAAGGATGGGAACCTTCTTCATAGCAATGGCCAGAGCACACATGAACTTGGAGCGGCGAGTGGCTCGGACGCGGTCGTTGTGCCAGTTGGACTTGTGCTTGATGACGAGTTTGAGAGTCAACTTGTCAAGGTTATTGACACCGCCAACGCCAATGCTGAAGTCGGGATGGAAGTCTCGAGCGTTCTCGGGGGCGCGAACAAAGTTCTCCATCTCCTGGCGAAGCAGCTCGATGTCCTCAAAAGAGGTGTCAAAAGAGACGTCGACGGTGAAGCTCTCCGACATGGCCTTGCTTCGGGTAATGTTTTCAATCCAGAGGTTGTTCAATACAATGTTGGGAACCTGGGACACCTGCATCCTATCGGTGCGCGTGAAAACGGTGTACAGGAGGGAAATGCGGTCGACAAGCATCTGCGTGCCGGAAATCTCGATACGGTCGCCGACATCGTAGGGGTGCTTGACGAAAAGAAAGATGCAGGAACCAAGGAACTCTTGAGTGGTAACGGCAAAGACAAAGGAAAGAGATAAAAGAGCGGTTCCAGCGGTGGCAATGGTTGTCAGAAGGCTACTGTTGAAGAAGGACAGGAAGATGAAAACAGTGATCAGTAACACTACGAACAGCAAGACCTTATCAAATGCTGTTAGGGCCTGACCAATGTCCTTCATGCCTTCGGCAATAGCCTTTCGCTCTTTGCCCATCTCCACAACTTTACGCAGCATCTCCTCGAGACTGATGTCTCCGTTGGCGTCAGTGTCAATGGCCTCAAAGGCCTCTTCGGCCTCTGCCTTGTACGCCGGTCCAAGAACCTCTTCCACGTCGTCGGGGTAGAGCGCGTCCCGGCCCTCGATGACAAAGGACATCCAGAGACGTCTAGCCAGGGCCTCGGAGGATCGCTTCTTCTCCAGGGCTTCAATGACAATGGAGTGGGCTGAATTGGGGTTGAAGACGTGCTTGCCCGTGATTTCACTGGCAAGGTTGCCAAAGACGGATGTCACCTTGTCACCAAATCGGCTGACGTCGCCAATGATCCTCGCAGGAGCAACACCACCCACGGCAGACTTGCCTGCTTTGCGTCGAAGCATCATCTCGATACTATCTTCGATGATATAATCTTCTTCGGCAAATTCAGGGCAGTACATGGGGAAGAGTGTTCGAGAGGCGTCATACAAAAGACCCAAGAGGTGGATTTCCCGCTTGGAGTCTTTGATGCGGTTGTCAAAGGATCGCTGATGATACGACACACCAATCAGCTGGACAATGGCCTTTTCGCCAAGAAGGATGGCAGAAGACACAAAGGAGGCACCAAGCACACGCTCCAGGTTGACGACCCAGGAAATTCCATCAGAGTAGGCCTGGGCAAAGATGGTCTTGAAAGTGAGCCACGAAGCCAGGCCCCAGAAGAAGATGGAGATGACAATGGTCAGGTTGCTCAGGACGGTGGCGTACTTGCGAGTGCCGGCGCTGACGATGCCGCAGAAGAACATGAAGACGTGGGGGAGAAACCAGACACACATCTTGACGCCCCAGAGGGACAGCCAGGATATTTGAATCCAGAGAAAGAGGTAGAACAGAGGGGGGCCGTGGGCGCCGGCGTTGGTGCCGAGGCGGATGTCGTTTTTGTGGCCGGTAAGGGGGAGCACAATCAGAGGGACTGCCAGCAGGATGCCGACGGGGACGACGTAGACCATGTATCGCGTGATGACTGAGAAGCCGATGATCTTGGCGTACAGGCGGCCCATGGCGTTCATGCTGACGTCCTCGCCGGTCTGTCTGCGCTTGAGGCTCTCGTCGTCCATCCTCCGTCGACGGCCGGCATGGCGGTGGTGCGCGCCATGCTTCTCATTGTGCTCGTCGTTGCTGTAGGCATTGAGCATCGGCCTTCTGGCCCCCGTAGTGGAAGCGCTGCTCTTGACGGTGGTCAAGGGGGCCAGAGGGATGCCGCCGGGATTGTCGTTGTCCATGTCGCGGGAATCGCCTCCTCCGAGGGGGATGAATCCAGTTGAGCTCCGAGAGGCGCGAGAGGATTGCCTATTCGCCATGTGAAAATTTCCCCTGGGCTGCGACAGGTGCCGAGCAAAGGATGAGTTGGGTAGCGCGCGCTGTTTATATACCAGGAGAGCTATAAATAGGCTGGATATGCACGCGGCTGTGGTGTGGTGTGGTGTTGCGACTTAATGAAGCTAACAGAAGACTAAGGCTTCTTGTTCCTGCGTCTTTCTTTTTCTAGAACAAGAAGATTACAAGGATAGCCCAAATGCTTTGTTTAAAGCTCAGAATATCCACACGGCATGAGAGAGGATGGCGTGGTCTAATAAACAGCGTCGCAATGCACCCCACGATGAGCAGCGCGGTGCCAAGCAGGGGGCATGAATAAAGCCGGCGAGGGCGACGTTTCAGATATCGCGGACGAGGGAAGGCCGCAGCTGAAGACCCGCTCCAGGTGAATTGAGTTTGCAGGATAGAGCCCGAAAAGACGAATTTGACAGATCAAAGATGCACGAATTAATCAATAATTCGCTGATGATGCTGAGAACCCCAGAGTCTCGGTCCGGGATGGCAATAAAGATGTCAGATGGCCGATACGAATGCCAAAGGGAGGCCCGTGCCAACACCAGGGATGGGCTCGAAGCGAGAGAACCGAGGGGACAATGCGCAGAAGAACACGAGCAAGAAAGAGTATGAAAAGGGAAAAGGAAATCTCTAACCAAACTCTAAGAGAAAAAAAAAGAGGTGACAGGAGAGAGAGTGAGAGACGAGTGAATCAAGAGACGAGGATAAGAGGATGGCAGGCAAGTAAATACCAAAGAGGGCACTAGGGGCGTTTCAGGATATATAAAAAAAAAACCGAGTGAACCAGGGCAAAAGAACGAGAGGACAGCTGTTGGATCCCTTTAGGTAGCCAAGAAAAAATCAATCTAAACGAGTGGGATAAGGGAGGAGTCGGAATTGTGGAGAGGGATGAGCGGGTTCGAAGCTGCAAAACAGACGATCTCTGCGAAGAAGAAAAGGAACATAAAAGAAGAGAGAGAGAGAGAGGGAAAAAAAAACTCGTGACTGGTGAAACAAGAGCCAACGACGGCTGGAGGAGCTTCTCGATCTCACTGGCCGCGGGCAGGCCCTGGTTGAAAGGGGCGATCGGCGCGCAAGTCGTGGGTACAAGAGCGTGCAGTAGCGGCTGGTGGCGGCAGGTGGGCGAGCCACTCGGGGCCAGGTACCGCATACGAGGTGGAGCAGCCGCTATAGTGCTGCAGGGGACAGAGCACAGCTGAAAACGCGCCGGGGCCTGGTGCCGTGCGACGCTGTGGCACGCAATGGTGCATGTAATGGTGCACGCAATGGTGCATGCAGTACACGTACCTGGCCGGCGTGGTACTGCAGGCACCAGACTACTACTAGGACTCACACAGGTGCTACCATCCGCCAAGGTACCAAGGACAGCGGCTTGGTCCAGGGACTTTCCACGCACCACTTTTAGAATGTATTCTCTTCAGCACCTCTCATCGTCTACACAAATTAATCAATCTGCATCAACCACCTACAACTTCATTTCTCTGCCTGCTGCTCACCGGAGCATACATGTGTAAGCCGACTGCAAGCCACCATGCAGGGGGCCGCCGTTCATGTTCATGTTCCTGCTCATGCCTGCAGCGAGCCCTGCAGCGCATCCCTGTCCCTCAGCGAGGCAGTACAGTGGAAACAGACCACCAGGCCACGCGACGCCCTCTCTGTCCAAAATCCAGTGCCAGTCTCTGCGATGGAAAAAAAAAAAAAACTTGGAAGAGTCCATTGACTAATGGGTAGCGACGCTGAGGTTCCCGCAATGAATGGGCCATTGATGGAGTCGGTATCAGCCACCTCAGTAGCGAAGCCAGAGTGGAGCGCTGCTGTATGTCTTGTCTTGGGCGCATGAACAGGCACAGGCCCAGGCACCCGGGGCTGTACGAGTATTCTGGCAGCACGTCGAAAATGACCATCTCACGCCGGGAATGAGATTTGGCTTGCAATGAACGTATACGAAGTCTGTGCCTGTTTGCGGTTCTATTTTTCAAAAAACGCCTTACATAGTGCTCTCCAATTTCCCCTTTTAGCCCTCCTTTTCTTTATGGCCCAATCGGCCGCGTTGCCTCTCCCGACGCCATGGCGCCTTTAGGTGAAGAGATTCGGTGCGAGGCCAAACCTAGACACTACAGGTTCTCGATCTTATTGCCACATGCAGTTTATTCCCCTGACCACGGCATACTGTTTTCACGCCTCTCCACCGCTGTATCCATCGCCAAAGCTATTAACTCTAGTAGCCTACAACGGCATTGTCCAGAAGTTGATCTAGAAGGAGAAAAGGAAGACGAAAAAACAGCCGCTGAAACATTCCGTGTTCCCCTTACTCCTCCCCTGACGCTACGGCTTACAGGTCAAACGGCGGCCAAACCTTGTTGAGCCTTAGCTGCATGTGCGTGTGTCGGTAATTGTAATGACAGGTTCACTTTTGTTTGTTTCTTTTGTTTCTTTTTTACTGCCAAACTATCGACAGCTGAGACAAAAAGAAACTGCCGTCAAAATCAAACACGACACACAACACACCGACACCATACAGAAAGCATCATCATCGTGATCCACCCGCTGTTCCGCCACCACCACTGAAGCTGCATGCCTTAGCCTCTGCTATTCTTACCAGATCCAAGCCAGATCGCCATCAGCTCCCATCCAGCCATCCAAACGACGCTAGCTGGCCCAGCGAGCCATTCGCACGACGGCCTAATCGGAAACAGCCATCCCGCCTTGCCGGCCAAGGGACCACACACACCCAAATCAAACCCTTTGAAATGCCATGAATGACAGCTAACGCTCGCATGAACGCGATAGAATATAACCATAGCGCCCTGATCCGCCAAAACAAAACACAAAAAAAAAAACCCCCCCCGCATAAACAAACACCAATCGCAAGATTTAAGAGGAAAAGTGTAAAAATCAAATTCCAAAGCGCTCAGGCACTGCGAAGCTGTCACATCTCACTCGCCCCGTCTCAAGATCTCCCCTCCCCTCCACAATCTGGTAGGATGAGCACACACACACATGCACGCACACGCATACGAGCTCACACACCTAAAAACACCGCGAGCTCCATCATTGCGCATATTTCACTCGCTTCTCTTTTTCAACTCCTCCAAAAGCGGGCCGCAGCGCGACGGACACTTTTTCCAACGGTTTGACAGTTGAAGACGACGCCGCCATTTGGAACTAGTACACGATATAGCAGCATTCACAAAGTACCAGATACCTCTTCCGGTGATGCCATCGACTTTTCGAGTCCGACCGTTCCCTCGTATACATCACCAGCTCCAGCAATTCCATCAACACTTCATCGCCCAATCACCACCCCGCGATCCAAACCTGAACGGCTCCATCACTGATCGCCACTCACACAAGGAAAAAGATCGTCGCCTCCCCCCTACCCTCTGAACCCTTGCCTGTCGATCCGAAGCTTGGTATTGCATATGTGGTCATGACCTCTGCTTATTTGCGCAATGTAAACAGAAATAGACCCAGGCGCGTATGAACTCGTCTCAGGGATTCCCCTCACATTCTCACACTCAGAACTGAGGAGATTGCCGAGGCTGTCCGTGCCATTCACATCCACAAAGCCGTGATGATATCATATCTACACCTTACCATCCGCTGCTGCCGACATCGTAGGCGAGCCCCATGCATTCATCACTGCCTTTCACTTTTTTTGATCTCCATAAAATATAGACATTCTGCATTTCAAGGTATCATCGCCAGTTGCTGCAGTGGGCCCAATGACGTCCTTTCAACGCATCGCGGCTCCACTCGCGATCTGTTTATGCAGCAAGGCAGCAGCAGCGCCAATTGACATCAATTATCCCCATTTACTGGGTATTGGTAGATAAGTCTGGAAGATACAGATCGTCTCCCGTCATTGATCGATTGTTTGTCGAATCATCGTGGATCCTGGTTGCGAAGAAGTGCAGATGCAGCAGATCGGGTGGGCTTCGCATTGCTTTCCTTTTCTGGGCACGCATAGAGATCCCTCTGTCGGAATTTTGATCAGACTATCAGATTAAGGGAAAAGATAACATAGTACAGATAGTAATGGTAAGAGCTTTTCATGCCTCAGATTCACATGTATAAATTATATAGTAGGCTTATCTAATGTCTTGTTCGTGCAATCAATCATATATGCATTGCAGATCGTCCACATCTTTATCCACAAAAATGTCTCTCCTTTCTATTTCTCTCTCTCTCTCTCTCGCTCTCTTCCAATTTCCAACGCTAGCGGTAAGACAGACAGGGACAGAAAATGCTATCCAGTAATAACAACACAGCTCAGATAAACAATGTGCTTCAGCGTAAGTCCAATAGGTAGAACGAACAAAAAAAATCAATTATTTCAAAACAGAAACTTGGGGTATCGCTTCCATCATGCGCCATAAATTTGTTCCTATCCCATCTTCCATCCGTGGTATCATGAGGTTTGGAAATGAAACACACGCCCGCTAATCAATGATTCCAGCAAATCAACGCCCAAAAAGAAAAGGCAAAGGATTGCCAGCAGAAAAACGCCATCCAAAATGACATCGACGGGGAGTGAAGAAAAAATCCAACAAAATCCAAAAGTAAAAAAAAAAAAAAAAAAAAACATCGGAAACGCATTCAAAATCACACTGCTTCCGAAGAAGGTGGCCTGGGGTTGACGGCCACCGGTGCAAAGCCAACAATGTCTTTCAGCTCGACCTTGGCCTTGTCATTCTCAAATTGATCCTCGCCTTCTTCCGAGTCGTGATGCTCAGCCACATCCAGTGTATACAACGGCTCGAGCGTCGCATCCTTTCGGAGCAAGATCCATCGCTTGATCCACCAGGGCAACGTCTTGGTTACCTGGTACTTCATAAAGACTCGCGAAGGCACGGCGAAGATGTAGTCCAGCTCTTCCAGCGTCCGCTGCTTCGTCTCCGGAAGCCAGAGGAAAATCATGACCAATGCGATGACGTTGAAGAGCGCATATAATCCAAATGAGCCTGTGACCCCTAGCCTGGCAAGCATCAGGGGGAACGTGATGGACAGCACAGCCGCCCAGAAAAGACAAGTCGCTACCGCAAACGCCATGCCCATTTCACGGTGTGACAGAGGAAACACTTCGGCCGAATACGTAAACGGAACAGGGCCTTCGCCTGGCGAGTAAAAGGCTGCAAACAAGTAAATAAAGAAAGCAACAAAGCCCAGATGAGGTCCATTCTTTCCGGGTATCAGATTGCAGAGACCTGCAGCCAGCAGCGTCCATGCCATCTGCGGAAAGGTGAAGAGGAGGAGAGATCGCCGACCAAACGTGTCAATCGTCCAGACGGCAGGAAAGGCGAACAAGAAGTTGACCAGACCAAACCCCCAGGAGGCCCAGAGAGATCCGGTTTGGCTTGCTCCAGCATCCAGGAAGACAGTTGACGAGTAAAAGGCAATAATGTTAATACCACACATCTGCTGCGCAATCATGACGGTAAAGGCCGCCAGAGTCGCGCGACGGACCCGGGGCAGGGTAAAGAGTTCTATAAATCGCTTAACATAGTTGCCAGAGCCGGTGAACTCAGCCTCCACTTCGAGCTGAACGTGTATGTAGTAGATATCGCGACCGGCCTGGATGGGGTTGTTTCGGAGGCGGAGTAAAGATCGCATAGCATCTCTATACCGGTTCTTCTTGATGTACCAACGCGGCGACTCGGGGCAAAAGTAAATAAGGCACACAAGTGGCACAGCCGGGATGAAAGCTGAGCCCAGCTGGTATCTCCAAGCCTCAGCACCAATTCCCATGACTGCAAGGTTAGCGCAAGTCCCGAGGAAAATACCAAATGCGTTCCACAGCTGCCAGCTCATGACGAGAGCGCCTCGGATGGGGGCTGGTGAGTTTTCTGCAGCAAAGATGGGCACTATTTAAAGAAATCCAAGTCAGTCAAAAGCCGTGTTGCTTGGCACCATCTAAAGTCAACATGTCAAATAGGAGGAGCTGATTGAACTCACCAGTAGATGCTTTTGCGCCCATCCCCACGCCCATAAGCAGACGGCATATCAGCAGCCTGGGCCACGTATTGCAAAAGGCACTCCCCAGAACGGGCCAAAGACAGAAGTTGGCAGACGCAAAGATGGCCCCGCGGCGGCCAAAGTGATAATTTAAAGGATCTGACAGCCAGCAGCCAACGAGCGATGTCCCGATGTATGGCGCAGCATTGACGAGGCCGACAATGAGCTTGTCATGGATGCTGTCAGAATCTATGCCGTAAGCACGAGGAAAGGCGAGATTCGCGCCGTTCGACCCCGTCTGATCCCAGCCCTGCACCGCCGCGCCGATGGAGCACGTAACGACGGTTAAGAACAGCGTCCAGGGGATCCGCCATTTGTGCAGTACCTCGTTGCGGAGAGCTTCAATCTCTTGCGGGCTCAGAGCCTCGGAGCCGGTGATGTCTTCGTAGCCAGTAGGATCCTGGGCAACAAGCGCGCCCTTGCGGATGATGGAGCGGTAGTCCTCCAGCGACTTTGTGCGGCAGAAGTCGTCGACATCGTTGAGCAGAGTCCGTCGCGGGATGCCAATGAGTGGGTTCTTGATTCTAAGACACGGGGACACGGGAGATGGACGGATTAGACGGGCTCAGGGCTGAAGAAGGGAGGGGCTCGCCACGTGGTGGAGCAGACAATGGACGGCTGAACTCACTTTGCTTCCGTGTTGGAGTTGAAGTTTATGCTGCTCCGCGCTTTTGAGCGGTCTGCAGACTCTGCCGAGAAGGACGACGAGACATGGTACTCGTTGGAGCCTCTGTGGCGGATACGGTCAGTTTCAGCTTCAGCATCAGCGTTGGCTCTGGCTCCGGCTCTGGCTGCAGTATCAGCGGCAGGTAACGGTGACGGTGAGGCACGAGACATGTCTGTAACGCGCAGTGTATGTCTCACGCCCGAGGAACAAGGAAAAGACAAACGCAGATGGATAGATGCAGCGATGAATTACAAATATGAAAAAGGGACGTACATTGTAATCTCGTCGACCCGACTCTGCGACGACGTCGACGAGGACATGGCGGTGGTTGCGCGGCCGACGCCGACAAGCAGCAAATCCGGGGAAGCGTCAACCACGCACAACAGATGTGGGGATCGATCCGACCCGATCCCCCTCTGTCAATCTCTCCCTCGTGCTTCGACTGCACGGCTGGGCGGAGACGAGAGCGGATACGGCCGTATGTAATCGTAGTAGTGCGTGCAGCGCAGCGCAAATGGCAGGTCGGCCCGGGGTGGGTGTCTCAGCAGCGAGAGGGCAAAAGGGAAAAAGAGAGGCGGGCAGTGGAGGAGGAAACAACGAGAGATGGATGCGATGCCAGCCGGGGGCGAGAGAGCAGAGGAAAAGGGCTGCAAAAGGCACCGCCAGCTAGTTCCGGATCCAAGTTCTGATGGCCACGCCTCGCTCTTTGCGCAGTAGTTCGAGGCGCCGGTTTGGTCCACCGGGCCGCTGTTGCTTCTGGGCGTGGAGAAGGGGAGCAGAAAAAAATAGAGAGACGGGCCTGGAAGTCCGGTGGAGCGCCCTGTTCTGGCAGAGTAAGCAGGAAGATCAGAATCTAGAAGTAGAGAAGGCGAAGGCGAAGAATAAGACAATCTTGGCCTAGACGGGGTGGGATGTTTGGCGGAAGAGGCACAAACAGCAGCTCCGTCGTCTAGGGCCGGCAGGACTCGATGATCCGGTGGTTTGAGCCGTGGCGCCAGGGCGAACAAAGCAGCATGTGAGCCGGAAAGGCAGCAGGAGAGCGAGAAGACAGGAGGCGAAAATAAACTACCAAAGCACCAAGCAAATCCGTGTTAATCCAGAACCGAGTAAGTCAGTAAGCCCCCGGCAACTCTAGCGCTGCGTTGCACACACGGTGAGGCTTTGGGGAAAAGGCGGAACGAGTCGATATCCAGTAGTAGTGCTAGTGCTTGTAGTATCGCACCGTACTGTGCAGTAATAGTGTCACTACCGGCTCCGAACTGGGGGGAAAAACTGGGATGCCATGGGGAGACGGATCCTTGGGCTTGGGGTTTCCAGCAGCCGCTAGCAGGGATGCGCGAGGCCTTTGCAGCACCGCCGTGCTCTGAGCAGAAAAGTCGAAGGATTTGTGCCATGGAATCAATGCGCCGACAATGGCTGCACACACCCACGCTTTGAATCTCACTCATTTGCGCCGAGATCCTTGGAAAAGAGATGTATTCTATCCCCTTTCTGTCTCTTTCCCCCATGTTTCGCTAGTAAAACTAAGAGCAGTGCTGGTTCAAAGGGGAAAAGAGGCGTCTGTTTGAATTCTCGGCGTCCCCGGAAATAGAAGAAAAAGAACAATGGAATGTCAGCCAAAGCACGTGGGAGAGCGACGCCCAGCACACGACCGCCGGCCATTGAAAGCACACAATTGAACCGCAACCGTGCAGGTACTCAGTGAAGGTTTGACGACAGCCAGACGGTGGTAATAGGTTTCAGACACACAAACACACACAGTGAGAGGAAATGTCACCCAAGAACAGCCCCTAGAATTCCCCAGTGCGTACATTGAGCTTTTATTGCGGGGGGCGAGCGAGCAGGTTGCGTTTGAGTCGCGCGCTTCTCCACAGAACAGAAAAATTGCAGAAAGAGAGCACGACACTAGCAGCCCGCAAGATTCGCCTGTGGCGGCCAGTCACAGTGTCTGGTTGGCTGTTGCGCCCCCCAGCTTTTCGCCTTGTGCACTGTATGGCGGGGGGGGGTTCAAACGTGCTGTCTGTCGCTATAAACGGGTACTAGTGCTGGCTGGCTATCCGTAGGATCTGCTGCTTACTCTACTGGGAGAGGCATCAAGTGCGGAAATGTAGGCAAGCGGAGAGCCGCGCCGGCATTCGAGAGCAACTAAGCTGCAATTTACCAGGGCCAGACCGCTAGGAGAACAACTACGGTAGGTACAGCTCTGTCCTCACACGCAGTTATTGAAGGCGCTCTTGAGTTGAACGGCGGCCCTACTTACAGGCGCTATTCGAAGCCAGGGCCCGTAATCTCAGACCCGGGAGATCACCCAGCAAGCAAAAGCCGGGCCCCGATCCCAGGACTAAATTGCAGCCGCCCCTCCGTCGCAGATAGTGGCATCAACATAGTTGTATCTCGTAATAAGCCGCTATATCATTAAACTTATTAGTTGACAAGAGAATGAAGGAAACGGGAAGAGAAAGCGTAAGATTGGGGCTGTGAATAGGATAGTCTTATTTTAGACTGCATCCCACCAACCAACGCCCGAGGGATAACCTTTTGATTACTGAAGTGATCTGCCAACGAAGATCGTTTATATCTAAATCACCTGCTAAATATCTATTGATAGCATGTATTGACATACTTCGTGGCACTAAGCAAACCGCGGGGCAAGTCGAGCTTTAAAACCATGTAAGCAATACGACATTTCTTATACTCTTCAACCACTCCACACAGACGACGAATCGTTGAAGTAAAGATCGTCTGAAGGACATTGGATCATTCACTGCTCTGCATTATCATCCACTGCTCTGCATTATCATCCACTTCTTGGCAGCAAAAAGAATGCTATTGCTGAGCATAACTATCCCCCCTCTTTGTTCTAATTATACTTGTAGAACATCGAGGTGACACAGCATTCAGTGTACTTACAAGCAAACACTCAAAGATGATGATAAGAATAGCTGCAGTTACTCTTCATATAATGCAAACAAACACGTCACTCAAAAGTAAACAATCAATTAGGTATATCACATTCCAATACCTCGGTCAAGTACGGCAATTATGTAAAGTCGTCAGACAAGCCCCTGGCTATCTGTCCAGGTTTCTTGCCAGTTTTGATAGCATGCTACTCCCCTCTCCTAATCCTATCGATATTACAGTATAAACAGTTCAATGTTACCTAATGCCTAAAGTAAAATGTCATATACAAGGCCAACATGGTCCCTGGCACGATGCCACACAACGACAGCCTGCAACTGTCTCCGCATGCTTAATGTGTCCCATGTATGCTCCCCCACACTCTTACATATGCAGCGATCAAACTCCATCCTTCCAATATATGCAATGCCGTGGCCAGTCACAGCGTCCCAGCATGTACTCCAAGTGTGTACCCATGTAGTTACTCCCCAAATCTCAGTACTCAAAGCGTTGTTTCCCTTCCCTTCCGATCTGTCCAAAGAGGATATCGGGATTTGTAAGTATATAAAAGAAAGATTAAGAACAAAATCAAAAAGCAAATTGGTATCTTTTTTGAATAACCATCCTCAAATGGGATCTCCCTTCATCGCCCCTATTACCTTGTTCTGCATATCAAACAGCTCCCGGTCTCGCTTCTCAATCTCATCCATGAGAGCGCCATACTTGGCCTGCCACTGCTGCGCTGTCAGGCCTTCTTCTTCCTGTGACGCTTCGTTACGCTCTCCCGCTCCGGGCTTTTTCCACATCGTCACTGGCACACTATGAGTCATGGTAAACTGTCCCTTGAGAGGGCCAAACCGATATTGCCAATCAAAGTAGTAGCTGTAAACACCCTCTGAGGTCTCGACTCGGTAGCATCTCGGACGATTCGACATGAGCATCTTGGCGCCGCACAATGCCGCCAGGTTAATCAGAAAGGCTTGAGAGGATTCGGCATTCTTGTACATGTGCTCGATTGTCGCATTGACCATGGCGGTACACTCGTCTAACCCCGCTATCTCCTGCTGATTCCCCTGAGGGTCCACCCAGTCGGAATTGTGCAGCACATGGGTGAAGTAGGATATTAGCCCGTCAAGGTTGGTCCGGTCGTCCAGATCTTCAAAGAAATATTTTGGCACATCCTTTTCTGGACCAGCCTGGCTTGCAGAACCGGCAGATGTTGGGACATTATTCGGTTCATTTGCTCTCGCCGTAGACGGCTGTGAGAAGGGGTCCCAGCCATTGGCCTGCGGCATTTGCGACAGTGGTGGAGGAGGCTGCTGCGGCGGTGGCGGCGGCGGCGGTGGTAGTCCTTGGCCAGCACCTGGGAGCGTCGGAATATCGTTTGCTGGCTGTCCATTCATTGGCATCATTGGGATTGGTGGTGGTGGTGGTAGTGGTGGCGGAAGCGGTGGTGTTGCCAGTCGAACTGTGCCTCCTTGTCGTTCGGGGACTTGCAAAGATATGCTGGGCCGAGCAGGTCTGGCGCCAGCGTCGAGAGGTTGGACACCCATCCCGGGAACCAGCAGGCCAGGAGGCGCAGAGGGCGGAATAATGCGTACTTGCGCATCTACTTGCGCATATGGGGAGACTTGGTTGCGAATCTGTGGGTGCATCTGAGCTGCGTCGGGCATCATTGGTATGGGGTCTTTGGGAGCCATCTGAACAGGAGGAGGATCGGATGGGTTGCTATCGGGTGTCGGAGCCCACGATGTCATGGGCGAAGGGTTCGAAGGATGCGGAGCGTTGGAAGCGATGGGAGGATTGGGAGGATTGGCAGGCGGCTCCACGGGCGTACGATGAATCGGAGGCCTTCCTCGCAGCTTTACGCTACTATCGGCTCCCTGTGGCTTCCAAGCTGACGATACATTCTTGGGACCCCGTCGGTGGGCAGAAAGCTTAGGCTTGGACGGAGTGATGGCAGAGCGAGGTTCCAGCGCGTCGTCCCAGAACGAGCTCCGGGTGGACGGCGTTATGGCCGAGTTGGGATATCGGGACAGCGGAGTCTGCACGGTGTCGTTGGAGCTCCAAGCAGCTACGGCGCCCGGCCGGGAAGGGTCCATCGGCAGCACCTGGCCTCGGGCATCTGGATGGGCGGACCACGAGCCCCGATGGCCATCAATTGCCGACGGGGGCGATAGGCGTGGTCGCTGGGCAGCCGGAGAGCCGGCGACATCATCGGGTTCTGGCCTTCGGCGGCCGCGTTTGGGGCGAATGTGAGGCAAAAGAGCCCTCAGGGCCATGTCGTCTTCAATGGCCACGCCGTCACGCACAGGCCGGCCGGTAGGGTCTGGGTCGTCTGGGATGCTGGTCCAGTAATCATTTTCAATGTCCATCAGATATTCGAAAAAGGCCTTGACATGCATCGAGTTCATCCATTTCTGATTTGTAGACAGAGTCAGCAAATACTATTCCACCACGAGTCGAATGTAAGAGCAAGCAGATCTGAACGTACCTTGAGACGGACGCCGTACTGAGCAATCTTCTGCACGCTCTCGTCCTTGGCCAGGTCCGGCGGCTCAACGCCCAGCGTGGTGGTCAGCTCGGTCCATGTCTTGATCTCCTTGCGGTAGAAGCGCCGCACCAGCTCGAAGATGACAAAGGGGCTGAAGCTCTTGCCGCCGCTCCTGGGCGGGTTCGCAAAGGCCTCGCGCAGGCTGTTGGTGTCTGCGTCCGGCGGCAGCGCAGGGTTGCAGTAGAAGATGAAGCGCACGTAGGCGTCCTCGAGGGTGTCGGCCGTCACGCTGCGATCGGGCAGTGCGAGCGGCAGGGCGGGCTGGCGCGGGTTTGCGACGGTGAAGCCCGTCTGGAGCGTCGTCGCCACGGCTTGCGGTGAGGACATGGTTGCAGATGGCCGTGTTGGGCTTTCATGTCTTTGTTGCGCCGTGTCGCCGGGTCTGTCCGTGCGTCGCTCACACAGTCAATCAGTCGATCAGATGGTCGTTCTCTCGCTTGTTCCCCTTCCCTTTCTTTCTGTGTCCCTATCCGCGTTTCGGAGACGCGCCGTCGGCTGGCTGCTTGGTGAGAGCCGGGCGCTAGGCTAGGACGTGCTGAGAGCTGAACTGAATATGCACAGCTTGCCGGCCGCAACGGATCGGTGCCGCAGCAGAACAGGGGTCGCTCGCACAACAAAAAAAAACCAGAGACGCAGCGGCAGAGGCGGCAATCGAGCCAGAGAGCAGCGAGGTCTACCGGGCGATTGTCGAGACAAGCATTGGTGCAGCTCCAAGGGCTGGAGATGCAGAGCCCGAGGGCGGGCATGACGTCCCGAGACGAGGAGCAGCACGGCCCGCTAATAGATAGAGCTGGAACTGAACTGCGTCGTTCGCTAGTCGCCTTGCGGCCGTGGCTCGCCATCATTGGCGGAGCAGCGAGCCGCCGGCGACAGTGCGCAGGCTAAATATAGCCACATTTGCTGGACGGCTGGGACAGGGTCGCTGGCAATCTATGTAGGGATCGCGCCGCCATTGGGTCATGTTTTCAAGCATTGAGAGATTGCGGCAGGATCTGCTTGCAACAAGCAGCGGGCTTACTCTGTGCCTCGGCGGTGCGCGCCGCTTCTGTGAGCTGAGTGCTTACCTGCTGCACTAGGTACTTGCAGCCCCTGAACGCGGGACGATAGGCCCCAAATCATAAACTCAGCTCACCCATTCTTACAACTGCCATGCCGCCGCAGTATGTGCGAGCTACGGCTTTTCCACACGTTGCACCCACCAACTAAGGCTTTAGAGCGACGGGGCCAAAATTGCTGCTAATCTGGCTGTCTGGCCGCAAGCGATCTCGTTTCATGTCTTGGCTGCTTGGCTAATAGATTGGTCTGGCGGCACTTGGCGGCAGAAGGGAGGGGGAAAAGAGCGGGCCGCTACATGCAAGTTTCATTGCCTCAGCGGCCAAAGGGAGACCCTTTAGTAATACTACTCTGTGGGAAAATCTCGGCTTTAGCAAAGATGCCAAAGTCAGCCCATGCAGGACATCCCGCTCTTGTGCCGGATGAGAAATGCGGAGGATTTTCATATACTGTAAGCAAGGGCAAGCTGCGAGGAGGATCTCCGTATCGGTTTAGGGGTCCCGATGTTACGTTTGGGTTTAGGCTGCTTCTTATCGCTTCGCCTTGGTTCTGTAAGAATGGCGATACAGAGACAGGCAGAGAGGAAGTAGGGCGTAACAAAATAGAAGAAAAGAAGCTCTATTACAACTGCATTCACTGACGTGCGTATTACTTGAGTCGGCTCTCGGCGATGACGTCAATTACACAAATTAGCTGCAAGTTGATGCACAGCTTATTAGAAGTGCGGGAGATTCCGTTACTCAGCTAACTTGGGTGAGTATACTGAGAAGCTGAAGAATAGCTCGCTATTTGCTACCCTACATCTAATACCAAGTGCCGAAGGATTCTGATGAACTGGTTGCTACCTCTGCTCACAAGGACAGACTTGAGCCCGCAAGTAAAAATCATACAAATTCACGGTATTTTGAATTGTCATACAAGGATCGGCCGACCCAAGCAATGCAGTAGTCGAAGCAAGTTGGAGTCTAAGTAGTAGTGGAGGTGAATGTACCTCGGTAGATCACTAGAACCAAGCCTATTACAAAGTAACCAAGGTACCGGCACTTTGGAATTATTCCCTACAAATAGGAAAATATTTCCCCTTCCATCACCATGCTCCCGAGGCTCACCTCATCAGATATTACTAAACCTCAAAGCTAGGCCTTTCTATCACCCGCTACCAAATCCAACATGAGAGATTGTACTGTAGACAAACAAGTCTCTTATTCTACATTGGTAGGCATCTCGTGAATTCATGTGTACCCAAAGGGTAACGCACGGCTTAATCCGGCAATCCCACAGAAGAAAATGGAACTTCGCATGCAGTTGCGCCATTTCGATCTTCTTAACCTTGAACTCACCTTGAACGCTTAGGTATTACTGGTAGGTACATTAGTTGTTACTAGTAGTGTTACAAACCTATGTTCTTTTTGGAGCGCTGCACCCCCATCAGGAAAACGGTCCCTATTTCGGCAACGCCTGCTTGAGTAAGCAGCTACGCCTTACAAATGGCATTGGACGAATGGCTGCGCGGCGCTGTGACGTGCTCGCGAGCTACGACATGGAAAGTCGAGCCACTGGCCGGATGTGATGCGGGACGATTTGAAATCGAACACGCTGCGGCCGCTGGATCGATGTGACGAGGTAGCTTGGTATATATATCGGGGAGGGGGGAGCTTGAATCTGTTTTTGTCAATATCAATCAATCAATCATCAATCAATCTCATCTCAGCGTCCACTCATCTACCTACATAAACCAATATACCCTCAGCTATTAGACACAGTTCCATCTATAAGCACTTTGATACCCCGCCACTCCAAGAACAAGAACAACAAGGAGAGCATCAACAAGAGCAGCATTTACACATCAAAAGAATAACACACATCCCTAATATCTCTCTCAAAAACACTCCAAACACATCACAATGGCCGTCATCTCCACCGTCCCCCGCGGCGACGTCACCGCAAACCTCAACTTCTTCACAGCCCCCGCCGACGGCGAAGTCCCCTTCAACCTTGTCGGCGACGGCCACGCCCCGGAGCTCGCCCGCCGCAACTACGGCGACGACTTCCACGACGTCGTCATCCACGACGTCCGCGGCCGCGAATCCGACTTCAACGTCAACCGCGACGCCTTTGAGCTCGTCCAGGGCATCCCCCCCTCCGCAGAAACAGAGTTCGTCGACGACGACTCCATCAAGAAGAAGTACTACCCAGAGGTCGAGCGCCTGCTGCTGGACAAGATCCCCGGCGCCGACAAAATCTACATCTTCGACCACACCATCCGCCGCTCGGATCCCAACGCCAGCCGCGCGCCCGTTCTGCGCGTCCACATTGACCAGACCGCCGCATCGACCGAGAAGCGCGTGCGCCGCTACTTCCCCGACGAGGCCGACGAGCTGCTCAAGCGCCGCTACCGCATCGTCAATGTCTGGCGCAGCCTGAACAAGGGCCCCATTGAAGCTACTCCCCTGGCTCTCGCTGCTTCTGCTACCCTCGACGAAAAGGACGTCACGCCCATCTCGCACCGCTACGCCGACGGCTACCACGGCGAGACTGCCGCTGTCAACTACAACCCTGACCAGAAGTTTTACTACTTCAGCGGCATGACGCCCGATGAGCGGCTGCTGATTGAGTGCTTTGACAGTGATTCGCTCAAGCCGGGCTCCAAGACTGGTGGACGGACGCCGCACACTGCTTTTACTGATCCCAGGACGAGACCTGATGCCGAGGGACGAGAGAGCATTGAGGTGCGAGCCTTGGTTTTCGGTAACTAAGAAGGAAAACGATTGTGAATTAGGACTGGATTTGCTCGGACATTTAGCTTTGGGATGCATCATACGGCGCCTATATCTGCTTTTAACTAGGGGGTGGTGCAATAATGTAACTCAACTTGCGTGGTAGAGGATGTTGAATGGTTTAGTCGATACTTTTGTTTTAGCTAGCGTTGAAATAGGCCCAAATGAAATTATCATAATGAACAAGAACAATCATTTCGATTTTTTCAATACACATCTATCTGTGTGTCTCCTGCATTACTTGCCATGTAAAGAACAACATGCTGCCAGCACTGGAGCAGGAGCAGTCCAACCAAAGTGGTTCAATCCCAAAACATAGCTTGCCGTAAAGAGAAAAGAAAATCAAAGCAGCAGCATCCTCCTCACTCCAAGTCTCCGCCCTCGCCCCCTTTTTGTAGTCATGGCCAGGCCTTGTCTCAGCCTGATCTATCCATCGCCGTGATAGCAGCAGCAGCAGTCCAATGCCTGCGGAATCTCTCTACCACCATTATAAGGAGACGCCATAAGGAGAAAACAAAAAAGAAAACAGGACGACGTAGAAAATCGAATCACTGGCGTATATAACTAGAAACCGGAAGGAAGAGAGAAAATTGAGAAATCCCTATACCACCTCATGGTTGATTTCGAAAGCGGTTAGGGAAAACCCAACCACCAAGTCCAAGTAAAACAAGCAACATGGCACGATGACTAACAAAAGAAAAGAAAAGAGAAATAGAGTGAAAGAAGAGGAGAAAAAAATTGAAAGTTAGAGTGTGAACACTAACCATGTGAGGTAAATAGGTTTTGAATGAAAGAAATGTAAGAAAGAAAGAAAAATTGAGGAGCTATTCTTCCCTCCCCCCCTTATTTCGGGGGGGAAGTAGATATAGATGAGAGAGAGAATGAGCTTATAAGAGAGAAAACCGGGACGCCAGCCGTCGCTTCGCCATGCCGTGAAATGCATATATTCCTGTACTCGACCTTTTCCTTTTTTTTTGTCGTTACTTTTTATGATGATGAGATTTCTTGTTCATCTCTTGCCCAAAGACAGCGTGTACGTTGCGTCGCCAAACTCATAAACACTTAAACTTGTTGGTTGATTGGCTTCAACCTCGACGCCCCTTTCCACGGCCACTGCCGCTGGTTCCTTGGCGGCTCATAGCCACACCACCCGTCTGGCTGCTCTGTCGGCTCATCGGGGCTGCTGCCGCCGCCGATAGGGCTGCCAAGGAGAGGCTCTGGTGGATCGGGCTTGGCTGGTCGCGAATGTTGCTGGAAGGGATGCCGAGAGCATCACGGAGGTTCTCCGGGTCATCGCGAGCAGCGCTCGTAAAAGCGACATATCGGCCCTGGTGGTAAGGCACGGCCACGGCCTCGAGAATCCTACGCAGACCACTAGACGCATCGAGATGAGCTCCGGGCTTGTGGGTTTGGTCGTACTGCTTGAATAGGCCCATGACGGAAAGATCAGAGGCAATGTCATCTTGGGACAGGGGAACGGGGAAATTCTGGTCGGCAGATCTTGGATATGGCTTGAGGTACTGCTGGGGAACCGGTGGCGGCATCTTAGGCGGCTCCTGGGCATGCATCAGGTCCAGGTTGGCCGGGATCTCAAAGTTGGCGATGCCCTCGATGCCCAGAATCTTGTCGTCCAAAAAGTTCTGGTTCGCCCCACCCCTAGTGCTGCGAGTTGCATGCGAGACCTGTCGCTCCATCATGGGGGCAGCAGACGGCTGAGAGTCGGCATCGTCCTTGTCGATGTCGTTGCTGTCGCCGTTGCCGAACTCGCTGTCGTCGGGAGACGAGTCTTTGCCGTTGCCACGGTTGCGTAGCACATACTGGTGAGCGGCGAGGGCAGCCGTGTTGTAGTGTAGAGACAGCTCCTTGTCTGTAAAGAGCTTGTCGATGCTGTAGACGGGGCCGTTCTGCTTGGCGGCGGCGCGGGCCTTTTCCGACTGCCACAGGGGCGTCGTGCTGTTGGGATCCAGAGCCCGGCGCGAGGGCACCGGCGATCCGTCATCTTCGCCCTGGTTGCGCTTGCGCTTCTTGCCGTCGGGGAAGACCTGGAGATCTTCGGCATCTTTGCGCAGTCGGGTCGCCCGCTTGCCATGGGCACCCCCGGGGCTAGCGGGGTTGGTCAGGCTGAATTGGTTTGGATTGAGCAGCAGGGCGTTGGAGTCGTTGATCTCCAGCACTTCTTTTTCTCTGTTTAGACGGTTCTTCTTTTGTGTGAGGCTGTTGATCAGCCGGTCGCGGAGCGTCTCGGTCAGAGCTCGATGCTCTCGCTTGGCCGTCTCGACCTTGTATGCGTGCGTGTTCTTGTATTCTTGCACCTTTCGTTCATATTCGTTCTGTCCAAATCGCAGCATGTGTTAGCCCAGCTTATAAGTGACGCCACCATGTAGAGGTGGGAAAAAACGAAAAGAAAAGGGAAAAAATTGAATAAAGGGAAGTGAGTAGCAAAAATGTGCTGCCTCTCCTCTCGTCTTCTGCCTCTCCCATCACTCCGTATGTATATATGGGGGTGTATATGTTCTTCCTCATTCCTTTCTTACCTTGGACTGCACAAGCTGGAAGTCGCGGATCTCAATCAGGTCCTCCACCTCGTCAATGAAGTCTGGGAAGCGGATTCCCGCCATGTCCATGAGGCTTCGGGCGCCATCGGCGTGTACTGGCGGCCCCTGGGACTGTCTGTGTTCCTGGAGCAGCTCGGCCGCCTTCTCGAGGGCGTTGGAGGCGTACGGGTCGAAGCGCTGCACAAGGCCGACCTCGTACTGGATCTTCTGCAGCTGGTCGCGGTAGGTGAGGTCTCGGTCGCGCTGCAGCTTGTCGTTCATGATGGACAGGCGCTCAATCAGGGCCTGGCGCTTGCGGTCACGCTTGGATTGGGACGCTGGGCCTGGTGAGCGGCGGTCCAGCTTGACGCCCACGGCGGAGGCGACTCCTTCGCTCGCCTCCATTGCGGATCAGGGAGCGAGAGAGGCCGTTGGTGTAAGGGCGAAGACGGAGTTTTGGTGTCTTTCTGCTTGCGAAACGCTGTTTGAAGGGCCGCAGCACGAACAAGACAAGGCAGCGGCAGCTGAGCAGAGCAGCGGAGAGCGGAATGGTCAGCTGTGCGGATTGCAAGTCGATCCTGGATGCTGCTGCTTGGAGGTTTCGGAGCAAAGCCTGGCTAGCAGGGACTTGCGTCTAAGTCTGGGGGTGGTGTATTAGTACTACGGCACGGTATTAGTGAGGTGTAGGCGGTTCAGGTCACTTTTCTGCCGCTTTGATTTTTTCGTTAGCTCAAAGTCACAGCAAACTTGGGGCCAACTGAGCTTAAGATAAAACGGAAAAAAGGGCGTAATCAAGCTCTGGCTGATGTAATTTAGTAGCAAGAAAAGCATGGAACGCATATCTAGTTTTGACATGAAGAATTATCATTTTCCCGCCTTTGCATGAATCGCCTCTGCCTCCGCATCCTGCGTGATTTGTCGCCTTTCTAAGCCGCTGTCATTCTGCCTGCGTGACCTGCTCAGCTCAGTTTCTCTTTCTAGCACACTCGCATGCCATTTCGGGCAGCTTCACCGCCCGCCGATCTAGCGGCTCTTCTCAGTTACACACGCTCTGTGATTGGCCCGTTTGAGCCGACGGAAAGAGGCGTATACGGAGCATGCTGTACGTCTGCAGTGTCCTCTACTTTGATTACTGCCAATTTGTATCGAGAATTCAAGTACAGTGTACAGCAGAGTACCCGCCGGCTAGCAGTACGTGTACTCGCGACTGCACGTCTAATGGGCGCTATGCCTCATATGGAAGTACTTTGGCTTTCTCATTGCCTTTCCCGGCCTGCGTCATAGCCGAAACGGCGCAATGCAGCTAATGAAGCCCTATAATTAGGCTTTAAACCACGAGGCTGGGCTTGTATGTTGCGAGAAACGAATCCTATAGATACGATATAATAGGATGGGGTTTACGGATTATAATGCCCTTTACGATTACCAAGGCCGTGCGAGTGGTAGAAATTGTTGTATGTCATTACTCATCCTGTCCCATCTCATCTTTCAGAGCCAGGTCCGTGTAACAGAAACTATATATCTTTCTTTCAAAGTGACCAGATGACATTTCTAGTATATCCATTACAGAAATGAAAGGATATTTTTCCATCTCCTCACAATCCGCCACGGAGCTTCTGCAACTGGCTCATCAGCCCAAATCCAGCAGGCAATGCCTTTTCTCCAGCCACGGCCTCTCTCGCTGACACACCAGCGTTGGCCTCACCCCTCACAAGAATAACCTCGCCCTTCTTCACATCCATTTCCTTCAGCAGTTCGCGGTGCCTGTCCTCCACCATCTTGGCCAGACTCTCAATGAATTTCATCCTGCCCTTCTCCTCTGCAGTGCCCGTCCACACCGTTGTGAGCTCCTTGAGCTTCTCGATCCTCTCTGCAGCCTTTTCGATTCCAGAAACAGGATCGTCCTTATTGTTGAGCAGAGATGAAATTTCTTCCCGTAGCTTCTTCAGAACTTGTTGGCCCCTTTCCTCTGAGCTTTGAAGTTCCGATCCAGGCTCTGGCGCGGAGACGGATAAGAACCCGGAGCTGACGGATACTTCTGAAGGTGGAAAGGTGAATTCCATGGCATCGCCGAATGTCTTGATGACGGAATCCAAGCGCTCGCGCACAAGCGTGAGTGTGCGTAGCTGTTTGATAGAATCCGGCTCTTCTCCTACTGCACCAGAACCAGCACCAGCCTCAGCTTTTGACGCTACCTTTGCTTCCGCCTCTTTCCCGCCTTCTGCCACAGAATCCTCCCTTTCCTTCTGCTTCTCTTCTTCAACCTGCTGCTTCTTCTCACCCTCTTCCTTGGCTTCGCCCTCCTTCTTCAGCCCTCCCGGCACGAACAGCTTGATCTCTTCCGCGAGCTTCTCAAACAGCAGTTCCTCCAAGCTCAGCGCCTCTCCCCGCAGCATCTCCACCTCATACGACATCCTGCTCCCGCTACGGAGAATGTCATCCGTAATCCGCGTCAACGTGTCCGAGAGCCTGGTTGTGTGAGCGTCCAGCTGTGTGAGCAGCGTCTGGGACTGCGTGGCGAGCTCTGCAAGAGGCACGGCATTGGGGTTCGACGTGGGCACCGGTGATTTTTGTGCCAGCGGCGGTAGGTTGGCGTTGATGTATGAGATGGGATCGAAGGAGGGGTTCAAAAAGTCTTGCAGGAATTCATCCGAGGTGTGCTGTGATTTGGGTTGAAAGGCCAGCTTTTTAGATGGCTTTGAGCTGTCGCTCTGCTTGATGTCGGTTGCCATCTCGAGCTCATCCACCCTGCTGTTCTCTACCGCCCAAACAAGAGAGGAAAGCGACAGAACAGAAAATCACTATTAATGTCCAGAGTGTAAGAGCTTTTTTGATATTTCTAGCGAATTATGAAATGCAATTGAGAAGCCTGCTGTCGTTATAATTTCCACAATAGTTGTCAAATTGTAAATGTCCAAGTGGCAAGTCGCTACAGCAGTCGTTCTACCTCCTTAGGTAGCCGATGATAAGCCGATCTCAGTCACACTTCTCAGCTCTCTCTCTCACTCATTCACTCACTTATTCATTCCGACTTGTCACCGCAAAAAGCAAACCTCAAATTTTTTTTTAAAAAAAACCCCAAAATATTACATTGCCAAGAAATGAGTGACAACGCCACCGAAGAAATGCGCATCGACCCCGCCAGAGCTCAAGCTCTCATCTCCCAACTCAGCTCCGTCAAGGACCGCATCGCAGCAGCCGCTCAAGGCCGAAATGTAAGCACTAGAATGTGATGATTTTGATTTCTCATAACCACCATCATATTTATATACATTCACATAGCTCAGCCGTACACAGTACACATAGAGAATATATAGAGAAATCCAGGACTTTATAAACTGACCAATTCATCCCTCCAGGTCCGCCTCGTCGCCGTGTCCAAGCTAAAGCCAGCAAACGACATCCTCGCCCTCCACCAAGCACCCGCCGCCCACGCCCACTTTGGCGAAAACTACGCCCAGGAACTCTCTCAAAAGGCCGACCTGCTGCCCCGAACCATCCACTGGCACTTCATCGGTGGCCTCCAGTCCGGCCACTGCAAGAACCTCGCTAAGATCCCAAACCTCTTCTGCGTCTCCAGCGTCGACTCCCTGAAAAAGGCCCAGCTGCTCAACTCGGCGCGGACGTCCATCCCGGACCTGCCAAAGCTCAACATCCACGTCCAAGTCAATACCTCTGGCGAAGAGGCCAAGTCCGGCTGCAGCCCCGGCGCGGATACCGTCTCTCTGTGTCGTGAGATTGCGCAGAACTTGCCTGGCCTGAATCTCCTTGGCCTCATGACCATTGGTGCCATTGCTCGTAGCAAGGCCACCACTGCGGAAAACGAGAATGAAGACTTTGAGGCGCTGAGAGAGCAGAGGGATTTGGTGGCCAAGGAGCTTGGACTGAGTCCTGAGAGTCTGGAGCTGAGCATGGGGATGAGCGAGGATTTCGAAGGCGCTATTGCGCAGGGAAGCAGTGAAGTGAGGGTTGGCAGCACAATCTTTGGACAGAGACCGGCCAAGTCGGATGCCAAGATAAAGGAGTAGGTATATAAAACAGTACAAAAAGCAGAAAAAAAAATATAAATTTGAATACACGTATAGTTTATACCAGTCTTACGATCAACATTGGACAGTTTATTCACGGTATATTGTAGCTTGCTAGTCACGTTCAAACAGTCTATCGAAGGAACCATGAGAACAACAATGACTAGATAAAGAAGTTAAAGAAGTAACATCAAAATGTGGTATCGACAACAGGATCCTCCTACTCGCCTCGCCCCCTCTCATGGCCATCATCATATGTTGCATCTTTCGTATTGATAAAAGGAGAAGAAGAGAAAAAAGGACAGCCGCTTTCATAGGAGGAAAAGCAAGAAATATACTAAATTACATACAGAGAAAACCAAGAAAGAGTATTGCCTTCAATCTCGCCCATCGCCGGCTTTGAAAATGAAAGAAAATATATCGTCCACGCACTTTTTGATATCTTTTCTTTCTCGTCCATCATGCTTTCTCTCTCCCAAGAACGCCCAATATGCTTCCATGCGTGTCAAGACATTTCCCAGTCAGTCATGTGGTTGTTAGTTGCCAAACATATTTCACTATTAAAAAGAAAATATGTCTAGTTCAAAAAAGGAGAATAGCAGCAGTAGTAATGGCAATTAGTTAACCATTACACTTCCAAAAGCATCCGAAATGTCTTGTCGTGTCGGGGCGTCGTGTCTCTCGGGCTGTGTTGACACTCCGACGCAAAGCCTTTCTTGCATGAGCTTGGTGAGGATCCGAGGGACTGATTCATCGGTAGCTCGGACCGTCAATCGGATCATCTTTAGTATCATCATGTTAGTAACGTATTCCTTCTCGCCAACCATTCAAAGTTCATAAACAGCAAGAAGAAAGAAATTCGATGATCAGGGCAAAGGTGAATAAAGTTTGTCTCATGACCCGAAGGTTCTGAAGTAGCAAATACTAATTTTTTGCAAAGCATCATATCGAAATGAAACACAACAAGGGAACGTAGAAAACATGTCAAAATAACTTACTTGTGTGGAGTAATTGGGCTCCAGGCGCATAAGACAGCCAAACTTGCCTCCCTCCGAGGTGTGAAGCACGCTGGCACCGACAACATTCTTGGGGTTGGGATCGACCATATCAAGGACACGCCATCTGAAGCCCTCGACCGTCGCCGCCACAAATCTCTCCGTCATCTCCCTGGCGCCGTTCCTGCTGCCAGAGAGGCCAAAGATTTCCTGCGCTTCTCGACCACCGCCACCGATTTGCTTCCAGCGCTTGAAGAAATCTTCGGCAGTAAGGTCTGCGGGGTCCATAAACTTGTGGATAGTAACCGGGAGCTTTAGCGTAAGTGCCTGCAACGCACCGGCCAGATAACTGACTCGAATGGTCGGGCTCTTTTCAAAGATTCTCTTTGCTTCAAACATGATGACCTGTTGAGTTTGGGACCCTTGACCAAGCGTGCTCTCGGGGAGGCCCTTCACGTCCCAGGAGAGATTGCTCTTTTCACTCTCGTCCAAATCCAGCGTCGTGGTGAAGGACGTGATAGTCCCCGGGTTCTTGTTTCTAAAGTACGCAATGAGGCAAGCCATCTGTCCGCGGTACTCTGACCGGACGCCAATCTGAACCTGGCCATCCTCGTACAAGACTCCCTCAGCCTTTAGCAAGAGCCTGTTGAAGCCCTTCTCCCACCCAGGAGAAAGATGAGCAGCGCTAGCCAGGTTTGGTGCTTTAAAAGGCTTTTGTTCGCCTGTTGGCGAGTTCATGTCCAGTCCGGCTAGGTCAGAGACGCCATTGGCATGGCTTCCGTTTACACCATTGGCCTTGTTCCCGTTGGGCGGGACAGCGGAACTAAACGTTCTCTTGAGACCACCAGGCTTGGCCATGTTGAGCTCCGCCTCGGTATTGGCAGACTTGCCGCCGACAACCCATGTCCTCCGGTCGCTGGTGTTGGCGTGCTTCTGATGCAGACGAGATAGCAATGCTGATTCTCTTTCGGGAAATGGGGGCATCTCGTCGCACAGTGTCCGAAGAAGGTCATCTGATGGCAGCGTGGCCAGCTTCAGATACTCACAAGCTCTCTGCTGCAACTCGGAATCCAGCGTATGGCTGTAGATTTCGAAAACGTGAACGAGCTGAGGCTTGATTTCAGGGAACAAGTTGACAAATTTGATGAAGCATGAAAGAATCATGGCGCGTGTGCTTGACGAACATGCCGACAGTTTCCTCTGCAAAGCTAGGAACTGCTCAATGGGACTGCATCGCTGTTGATCCGCAACAAGATGACCAAACTCTCCAAGAATGTACGCCCCAATCTTGACCAACGTCTCGTGGCAGTGGTCAGACCTGACATGTTGAAGCGCAGTCTGAGCAGCATACACCTGAAGCTCCTCGTTGTTGGTCACAATCTGGATAACTCGCTGCCACACTTCATCGCTGACGTGATCACCAGCCATGGCAATCAGTCGCAAGGATATATCGACATACCACTGGACGTCGGTGGCGTATTTTTCCGTAAGAATGGCAATCTTAAGTACCATCTCCTCACGGATGGCAAAGTCTGCGTTCTGAAGGAATTGCAGCAGCTCGCCTACCACAACCTGAGCATTTGTGGAGTCGCACATGCTGTAGAGAAGGTCGAGGCCCTTTCTGCGGACACTGATATCACGGTCCTTGAGCGAGCTCAGGATGATGTCCTGATGCTGCTTGATTGGTATGAGATTCTCAGATCTCGCGGCAAGGTGAGTCATGGCTTCGAGTCCCAGGTATCGAACATTGGTCTCTCTGCTCTGGATGAATCGTCCAAGACGAGAAGAAATCTGTTTCATCAGGTCCTGCTCAGTGTCCAAATGGATAATCAGGTTGATGGCCTCAAAGAGCACGGCGTTTTGGGCATTGTTCTGCTGCACGTTCTTGCTTGACTCGATGGCCAGGTTGAGAATCTTTTGCAGGGACTCTCGGATAAGCTCACGCACATGGGTGTCCTCTATACAGTCGTATGTTAGTCAACACGCATATCCACATCATTAAACCGGGAGACAAATCCAACATACCCGAAGGAGGAAAGTATTGCAGCAGCCGCAGAAGCTTGACCTGGAGCCAGGGGCAAGGGACTTTGTAATACAGATAGTCGGTGGTGTACTCTCCGTCAATGATGATACGCTTAAGCCTAGCGGCAGCCTTGGAATAGGCGCCCTTGTATTGTTCCAAGTCGTCTTGAGCCAGGGTCATGACGAGAGAAGTAATGGACAGCGCAACGCCCAGATCATCGTCGTCCATCAGGTGGATTAGTCGTTCGGCCCACTGGGGCTGCACAATGCCCGGGTGCTTTCGGTACAGTCGCAGTAGAGTCAGGGCGGCCTTTTTCTTGACAAACGATTTGGAAGTCCTGCATGGCATCGGTCAGCTTCCCATCTCACCATCGGTACAGCACACATCGGGACTTACGGAGAAATAAGCAATCGGTGCACCTCCCCGCTGAGTGCCTCTCCCATTTCGCGGCCTCCAACATTGGCGATGGCATGCAAAGCGAGACAGTTGAAGAGCTCGTTGTGGTCCAGAAGGTCCTTTCGAATGCTGTTGACCACGAGATGGAGCAGCTCGTGCTTCTCATGAAGGAACAGCGTCATGGCCAGATAGCCAATCTGCTTCTCCGAGTATTTATTCGCAGAGATCAGGTTCACGGCCTCGAGGTGCCCAAAGTCGACGTTCCAGCCCAGGATATAGATGTAAAGCAGCTTGCAGACGTATTTCTTCTTGTGGTAGCCGCTGAGGTTGCCATCCTTGAACTTTTGTCGGATGTTGGCTAGCTCCTTGTTGATTCGCTTCTCCTCCAACTCGCGGGCACGAGCGTTTCGCAAATCGGCAATGAATTGCACCAGGCCTCGCATATTAGCATTGCTGCTGCTGGAGCGGCCAATCCAGCCGGACGCAGATGACGACATGTTGGCGGTTTGATTCCTCGAGTCTCTCTAACTAAAGCTGGGCGCGCGCTCCCCCCTTTTTTGCCGGATTTTTCGTATTGTATTTCAACTTCCTCCGTTGATAAAATTGCGAAGCAGTTGTCGCGAGACTTGAATATTTGCAGCAAGTGATGCCGGACACCAATCGCCTATCGGGGGGATCGCATAGTCAGGCGGATTCAGGTCGTCGGGTTGGCTTTATGCGGCGAGCATCGACGGCGTCGCGAGGCTTCGGCGGGATATGGATGTGTAATCGCCCACTGCGACTGGCTCTCTAGCTGGCAGAAATGCTGGCGGCTGCTACGGTACAGCTCAAGGGCCACTGAAAAAACAGGCCGGCAGCGAGGTTGATGAGGGCGCAGCGGATTGTCGAGCGGCGGTGCCAAAAGGAACGGCGGATTGTCCAGACCAGTGTTGGCCACGATTTGTGAGATGCAAGGCACTGGGTGTCGCGTCTCACGGGCGGCTCGGGAGAAAGGTCGAAGGCCTTGATAGAGGGCCATTTGGTTCGCGTGGAGCAGCGCCTGATTAGGAGAGGGCCCCAGGAGCTCCCGTAGCGGGTGATGGCCACTATAAACGCCGATAGCTTGCAGCGGTTTGCGCTGTCGAGGACCCTGTGGTCGCGTGGCCCGTGCGCCTGCAACTCTTCAAAAAAAAAAAAACCACAGCTGGGTGCACTGCTGCTAAATTGGGTACATGCAGCAACATTGTTAGTACGTCACTGCTAGCTTCTTCTTCTTCCAAAAGCTCAACTCCGTCTTCTTGATAGTTGCATGCACATAATCTATTCCGCCCGCTCTGGTTTTAAGCGGCGGATGAGCATGTCATGTCCACGTGTGTGCGCCCGTCCGCATTCATGAGCTGGGGAAGAAGCAGCCTTACGAGGCTGGCCCCGCGCAGCAGCAACCAACTCGTTGCTGAAGCTGCCGCCCCTCGTCGCTTTTATGCAGTCGCCTCCGGAGCAACTCGATTCCAAGTCTTCAATCGACGGGCAAAATGGCTTCAGAAAGAGCGCGCAGCTTCTAATACCGAAGAAAGCCGGATAGCGGACTATCTGAAGGATGAGGCGGCTATCCGGCTGACAGAGCGACTTCTTGTAAGTTGAAAAGGCCCGTTATTTCGCCCTGGAAAAAAAGCTTTGTACTGATAAAACTTTCTCTAGGATATAAGGCGACACTTCCCCCGAGCTCTCGACCTCGGCGCCAATTCATGCAATGTTGCAAAAGCCCTCGTGCGCGAGAACCCCGATCCTGATCCCGACGTCACCGAGTCACCACCTCTCTCGACCCGCATTGGCGAGCTCATTGCGACTGATTCTTCCGAGGCCAGGCTCTACAGAGATGCCGACCATGAGTTCAACAACAAAATCTCCTTGACTCGCCAAGTAGTTGACGATGAAGAAACAATCCCCTTTGAGCCCGAGTCCTTTGACCTCGTACTAAGCTCTTTAAGTTTGCACTGGATCAACGACCTCCCCGGCGTACTATCTCAGATCAACAACATCCTCAAGCCAGACTGCCCTTTCATTGGCGCAATGCTTGGAGGCGATACGCTGTACGAACTACGGACATCCCTCCAGCTGGCAGAGCAGGAACGAAGAGGCGGCATGTCTCCGCACGTCTCGCCGCTGGCTGACGTGCGAGACGTAGGTGGCCTGCTTCAGAAAGCAGGCTTCAAGATGCTGACGGTGGACGTTGACGATATCATTGTCGATTACCCCGATACGTTTGCCCTGATGCAGGACCTCCAGGCAATGGGCGAGAGCAACGCCATCCTGAACCGCGAGATGGGGCCCATCCAGAGAGACGTTCTGCTTGCCAACGATGCCATCTACCGGTCCTTGCACGGCAATCCAGACGGATCTATTCCAGCGACTTTTAGAATTATATACATGATTGGCTGGCGTGAGGGAGAGAACCAGCCGCAGCCTCTGGCTAGAGGAAGTGGCCAGACGAATCTAAAGGATATTCTGGAAAAGAAGGAGTAGTAAAACGGGTACATATATTACCACATGAATGAATAAATAATGGATTTTTATAAATATATATATCTCAACCAGTCATCGAATGACCATTGTGCCATGAAATCTTCATATCCGTTTGCTCCCATTTGTAAAGTAAATAAAAGCCAAACACCTTGGGCTCCCTCCATACCACTTCTATACACTCAAAATTTTGCAATAATAAATCTCCCCCTCCCCCCCTTTCTCAACATTTCTCCCAGAAGTCGCAATTCTTCTTTATACTCTTCGCCAATCGGTCATCGTCCGGCCAATGCATCCCAGCCCAGCAACCTCCACCAACTTCTCATGCCAGCTCAACAAGACACTCATGGCCGCCGACGCGGACTCGTTGGCAACGCCGGGGCGCGAGCCGACCTGGCTGAAGCCGGTGGATTGAGGGGTCATCTTCGCGGGGGACTTGAGGCCGGCGGTTGCGGGAGCGCCGACGGCCATGCCCTTGTAGCTGGAAAGGTAATGCTGTCAGCTTCCTTTTTTCTGGATTCATCGTCGTTGTATACGCGTTCGATCAAGCCTTACATGTACTTCATGAGCACGTCGAGCAGCTCGCTTCCGCCGGGGGCCGCATAGATGCCCTTGAGCAGCGGCGTCATGTCGCTCGCCTTGATGGACTGCAGCACCTCGATGAGGGTCTGCAAATGCGCCTCCTACCACAATCCTTGCCCATCAGCATACACACACAAACACAGAGAGATACATGTATATCATCAAAGAAAAGGCCGTACCTTTGCTGCGTCCACCCCGTTATAGACCGGCGTCTCCAGGCATCCCCTCAGCGCACCCTCCGCATCGCCCCCCCGCAGCAGCTGCCGCACCTGCGTCGACAGGTTGCGCACGTCGGCCTCGCTGATCTCGGGCTGCGGCGGGTGCAGCGTCGTCGTGTCAAAGTTGACGCTCGAGTCCTCGTTGAGGATGTCGATGTTGACGGTGCGCCAGGCGTCGCCGAGCGTGGCGGCGGTGTGTTGCTGGATGATTGACATGGCTAGCGGGGGATGAAAGTTCTATATGTGTGTGTCCGAGAGAAAAGGATTCGAGGTTTGGGTAGCTTCGATTGGACTACAAAGGTGGCGGGAGAAAAGGAGGGCGTTCGAGGTATCGTGGGGAGGTCGGATTGGAGGCTGGAGCTCTGGAGGCGTATGTGGAAGCTCGGGCGCTGGTTGGTGATGATGCTGCGTCACGGGTGGAGGGGCTGTGGGGGAGATGCCTGTTAGCGGGGTACTGCTAGTTCTCAGTGAGAGTAAGCTTGATAAAAGTACTCGGCTAACTGATACCTGACAATGCGATGACTGCAATGATGTGGAATTGTTCATCAATGGTAGTAGTTTATAAAATTCCTGAATACGGGTGACGTAGAGTCATCTTCGATACGGGAATTTGTTTCAGAACATGGTGGCTGCTCTTCAACTTGTTCTAGAGCACAGCCGTCTCATTCACGACTCAGTGGGAATAGGAGAAGAATAGGTACTGCCTATAAGAGCTGCAGAGACAAGACTTCATATGCTTATAGTCTCTTCAAACCCATTGAGAGTCTATTCATCTCCTGGACTTTCTCGGCTATCCTAATCTACTGAGAAGTGACTAAGAAAGATAGGGAAAGTACTTCATTTCACGATAATCCAGCAGTGTACACTGGATGAGTAAGCCGAGTCGGCGTGCTAGAGTATTCAACCTAACTACAGACTGTCTTATCGAAAGCTACGACGCTGGTAGTTGGCCTCCTCAAATAGCATTCCGTTATTCAATTTCAATCATCCAATGCCAAATCGATATAACCGAGCATTCATAGCTCATCAACTAACATCTCTGGATTCCTCTCCGTCGGCCTCATCCGTACAAAGCTACCCTGTAGCGTCCTCAACTCCTACAGTTTGCGTATAAAGGCGTATCCGTATCCGCATCCTCAAACAGTCGACTCGTTGCTTACAAAATACAATATTACGTAGCACTCACTGCTGACTTGCCTTGTAATACTACTAACTTTTCATGCCAGTCGTGGTCCAACTGCAATATTCTCTCTCACACCCATGGCATCTGATTGAACCGCATCAACGGCGCCGAGGCACTCCCAACATCAGGAGACAGCTCTTTTCCTTTAGCATAAAGTCTCGCCCAAGGTCTATCGCTTAAGAGTAATATCGAACCACGTTGATATTTCCCGATAGCCGCACAAAGACTCCTACCGATGAATAGTACATGCCTCACCGTTGGCGACACCTCTGCTCAACCTCGGCGTCAGTCCCGAAGTCGCACGACAGATGACATGAGATTCCATGTGAGGTGGCGTGTTAAAAATCCTGTGGCTTTTCTCTTCTCACAGGTCGACCTTGCATATGCGAATCTGCTTCGCAAGCTCTCTGTCGAGTGGTCTGCTTACTATGCAAAGCCCGAAGGAGTTGGAGGGTGCCGAATGCGGTATGCAAGGTCCAAAGCACTTTTGTCTGCTGTAAATTAGAATCAGTCCTACCCATCCCGTCCTTTGGCGTTCCATCAATTTAAAATTCGCTTTGCCCAGGCCTTCCCAGGAAGCGTGGGCAGGTACCGAGATTGAATCCGGACACTCGGGATACAGGTCTCAGCACCTGACCGTGGAAAGATTATAGCATCTACGGAGTAACGCTACTAGCAGCAATATGCCGCCGATATAGATCGTGACAGGTGATCAAAGGGGCTTCTAGAAGGTAACGATTGATTCGTTCCATTCTGTAACATTCCACATTAATAATGCCTAGCCCATCTAAGCGAGTCGGCCTTCATTCACCCCCCTTGTCTGCATGGGGCTGTTATGGCCGACGGCTGCCAGCCAGCGAGCTCAGCCGCGCGCCGGGTGGCCTCCGACCAAAGTCCAGATCCGTTGGCTTGTAAAGGGCCGCCCTCTCTCGTTTCTGATTTCCCTTCTAGCTGATTGAACCAACGCTAAACAATCGTTGCTCGGGACGAATTTCCAGCGGAAGTGCTCCCCGGCGCCATCACCATCCACCGTGATGGGCGGGGTGGATCCATTCTCCAGGCAAACGTGGTCGTGGGACTTGCCTGACCTGCCATGTGTTGTGGATTCAATAAGAGATATTGCTCGTCTGTCAGGACGATTTCCACATGGCGTCTTGAGTTGTGCAAGTTGCACACGAGCGTGAAGGAGCCTGCGCCCCGGTAGAGCTGCGTCACCTCTGGCCAACAGCGCCCTGTACGCCTATTGAGCAAAAACGGTGGCTCATTAATCACCTCCATTCTTTGAAGAAACACTCATGACAGGGGTCTCGACAAAGCCGTGGTGTGGCTCACTCGGCGCCGTTTGAGAAGTACCGTTGTAGCTGCCCTGCCAACGGCCACACTCCGAAACATCCATACTCATACATCGTTGGACCCCTTGACCAAAATTGTCCAGCAAGCAGGAGGCATAAACGTTGCCAGGACATGCATGAAATACAGCCCAAAGAAGATGCGGATGAAGAAAAGAGAGCAAGGTACAATCCAAGGCAAAGCCTGGCATTTTCTGCGGCTCCATCTATCAGCTCCAAGATGCGGCGAGGCGAACGCGGCGATACCGCTCGGCATGTACCAGGCGCATTGCCGTGCTCCGCAATACCGCTCCGTGCTCTACAGCGAACAGGCCGATGCTGGCTCTCATGATCCTGACTCGTCGTCGTGCAGCAGTGAAGATGAATTGGGTTAAGAAAACGCCATCATGAGGCCGTGACCTTGCTCGTTCAACAAGAGTGCGTGTTTTGCGCTGTCCTAGTACGACTCGGTGAAATTGCCTGTAAATTTGCTCCAACCCGCTAGCAAGCCGCAGATGCTACTGATGACTTCCGGGTTGTTTCATTTGATGACAGCTGGGCTATTTCCGCTATTCCCAAAAGTTGGTAACCAACCACAGGACCTTGCTTTGTTTTTTTTCTTTCCTCATCTCATCAGCCAGCGGAAAGGCATCCGGGACAGGGATCTGCTCCTAAGCTATACCAGTACTAGAGACGACGCTACCATCTAGTAGCAGAATTAGGATATTACTACTGTAGCAGTACTAACGCTACCCGTATTGCTGTAATTCATAGGTTGGTACCTAGCCATCAGGCGGGTGCTGATCGCAGGCTGACAATAGAGCTACTCGGAGCTGTCAGTATCGCCTTACAAGTATTGCCGTGAACAAGGGTTCTGCCAAAGTGGGACAGGGTGCAACAGCCTTCCGCTCAAGATTCTGCCAGGCGTAGGTATTTCCAAATCCACATGACCGATCACAAGCGGCGGGGGCGTGCAAGGGTAGGTATTCAGCATGAATATGTACCTGCTTTCATGTACCTGTGCGTTGGCACGAACATGGTACGTGAGTAAACGTGCGTCTGAGCTATGGAAGGTTGTTGGAAGGTTGAAGACTCAGTTGCATGTAGTGTGTTTCTTCGGACTGCTGGTACTCCAAACCATCCAATAGGCGAAATGATGGTTGATTGCTGATAATTAGCATTTCTTTGTACAAGTTCGGCCAACACACGTAAAGCTGTGGATGCAAAGTCCAGGCCATAGTATCCCGTCAGGGTTTCCCATGCCTCAACCGTAACACTCTGCATTCTGTATTCTGTGCTGCGAACTCCATTTCAAACGGCGATACAGAGTAGCGCCTCCGTATACGCGAATCTACCTTTATTCTGGAGCATGTAGCACCAGCACATGCGAGCGCCGCGGTTGCGGTCCGGCATGGAGCCGAGATAATGGCATATGATCGGTACTGCTCGGGCGACCGTACCGATGCGCCACTATGCCGGCCGGTCAAGGGGATGAAATGCTCGGTCTCCTTCGAACTCATACTGCTGCCTTGTCATTGCTGCTTTTGACTCTCAGATTGCCCCTCCGCCGCGAGACTAACGCCGCTGGCAATAACGGATGCGTTTCCGGCCTGCGAAGTGTGCTCCGCTGCGTGTCAAGAGTAGAGCCGTGCCGGGGCCCCTTCTGTGCTCCTGCGGACGGGCAGCGAGGCGACAGTTGGCCGAAGTTTGAGTGGAACGGACCGATCGGCGATGTACTTTGAACAACATGCCTCCCTGGCAAGCCTGGTTTGTTGAAGAAGACAGCTAGTCAGGCACCCTTGTGCTTCACCAAGAGCCTCACGGAAAAGACGGGTCAAGTGAAATCCGCACTGTCAAAACGGTCCCGTCTCCTTTGTTTCGAGAATGAGTGGAGACTGTGGGGAAGTGCCAATTTTAGACAAGCGCATTCTAGAAAGCTTCGACGGAATGCCACCGCACCGCATAAACATCAGGGGGGAAGAGGTCCAAGCGTTTCGTTGCAGAAGTATTGCCGAGCTCAATCTTGGCTGTTTCGTTTTTTGCACGGTGCCTGGAATCTGGTCTTCACACTCCATACTTGGTCGTACAATAGGATAGCCTTGTCAGAAACAAATCTGGCCAGCCCAGCCCTTGGTGCTTCAGACACGTTGCATCTGATATGGATTCTCGACAAGTATGGAGCAGAGCTATGCTCGCTTCTCTCCGAAGGCAACGGTAGTTTTTGGCATGCTGGGCTTTGTGTAACAACGGAGCTGCAGCTGCAAGGTGCGTATCCGCAAGCCGTCGCATAGGTTGGGATTCGCAAACTACTCGTCTGGCAAACGCGGATATCAGAGGAGGGAAGCCTCCCTGTAATTGTCAGTCTGCAGAGTAGGTATCTCGCCTCCTTCGGGAGCATGATAGATTGCGATGTCTGTGCGGATAGTCCAGATTAGCCCATCACCATCCTTTCACAAGGCATCATTAGAAGCGGCTCATGATATTGATACCAAGCCTATACTTGGTGCTACTACTCCACCCCATTCATCCTTTCGTGTCGCTGTAGTATCGACTGTTGCTGAGCAGATTGACGACCACGTTTCGATTTCGTTACATTAGCTAGTAATATCCAGATCTTTGGGACGGTTGATTATGGGAGCGGGCCGAGTAGAATCTCCGAGGCTGCCACCTCTTAGCAGATAGGCGATTGACGGCCATATCCGCCCTAATGCAGCACAGCATGGAGTCGTAAATGGTAGGTCTGGGTTAAAGGGCAAACAAGTTGCTGCGGCATGTGCAACTCACATATGCGCATTGCCATGCCGTGAAAGCGCAATACTGTGCTCCCCCCTTCCAGGCTGCCCGCCATGCTGGTTGACAGTATAATGTCGTGGCTAGGGGCAACACAAGCCCCCTGCACACGAGGCTTGGATTGCCTGGTCTTGGACATGATGACGCCACGTCAAACCATGGTTTGCATCTGTAGCAGAGGCATTCAGTGCTACCCAATTGGCATATGCTTAAGAAATCCCCTGAAATGGTACTCCTTTGACGTGGCATACTATCTCATCTCCATAAATATTAATGTAGAAAATCGGAGAAGGCCGACCGGGTATGGGGTTGGGAAGCGGTTGTGGTGATGGCTGCATATCCCTTTATTGCTGCAAAAGGGGTTTTCGGAAAGAGCTTGGTTTGCTTCAAAGACTACTACAGCAGTAAAGAGTCAGCTACCCTGAAGACGGCTTGCGGCCAAGTCCGTATATGTCACGAGGCTGTGGGTTATTCGTTTATTTCCAGGCTGTTGGCAGTGAGGTGCAAGGTTCCAGGATCAAGGACAGCACGCTGCATTAATGCCCGAGGTTGTGCCTGAGGATTCATGGAAGGCTGAGAATACTTGGTGCAGGTACTGATTGATGTGGAAGTCGGTGTACCGTACGCAATTGGAAGGAATGAGCGTGGCACGAGGCACCGCCATCCACGACCCTTCTACGAGATCTAGATCAACCACATGCCTAGAAATAGCAGCGTGAACACAGAATGGGTACATGTAGATAATCAGCAGCTGTCGGTTGCACAGAAATTCGCTAATTGACGTTTCTACGGATGGCTAAGAAAGTGCACGAAGATAATACACTTGGAGTATTGGCATCATCAGCTCATACAGCTGGAAAATAGACAGCCATTAGACGCTGGGCTACGTTTGTTGGGAGACGCGCATGGGCAAAATGTCACGTTTACGAACGTACATGTACGTCAGTGTAAGCCTTAGCCCCATATAAGCTGTGGGTAGCAGTACGTGCCGCTCCAGCAGCAGAAGAGATATGATGAGGGCGTGTGTGTAGACGATAGAGCATGCTGTAGTGGTCTACGTAACTTGATCGAATTGAATTCGAGCTATTTCAGGAACCATCAGCCAGTAGTAGCAACTGGAACAAGAGCACCAAGCTTCTTCATGCTTTGAACTGTGCCTTGCTCAGTTGCGGCTTGAACGTGGCGCTCAAGTTTTCATGGCATAGACGTGGCTGCCACAAACAAAAAGGACCCAGGGGCGTGTAAGACGGCGCTACCAGCCCGAGCTATGCGAAACTAGCAGCAATTGGCTTTTCTTTTTACTCGTATGGTTTAATAATACTTCGGTCGTTTTGTTTTTAATTACACGCAATATACTTATTTATTCTCTTCTTCTTTTTTCTGCTGTAATTTGGCTGTAGCATTACTGGCACTAACATGGACCAGGCCTGGTTAGAGCACTTCAGCTGCTACCGTTTTGTCTTCTCCCTTCTCGCCTCCCGTTTTGTGCATGCAAGCGAGAAACATGCATGTTAGGAAGTTGGCCCGGAACCGCTCCCGCGGGACACGGATGGAGTCATGGCGGCAATGTAAGAAAATGAAAAAGAGGAAGAAAAAGCAAAGACCACGTTGAAAACTTGATTTCAATGACTCGGGATCGGCGGGAGAGACGGGAGCACAGCAAGCAGGCAATATTGCTAATAACAGCAATAATAGCTGCAGTGCTTAGGTGTATAAGCGGATGATGACGGCGGTCCCTTGCGTTGTAACTTGCCACTCCCGTCCATCTACTATTCTAAGATGTTTGATGATGGATTGCCCTTGCTGGGCGTGGCGTAGGCATGTGTGGCCGAGTACGCGAGTTTACTTTAGGCAATCAATCAACCTTCCCGCAGCTGCAGGCTTACATGTGCTGTAAGAAGAAGAAAAAAGAAAAGAAAAGAAAAGAAAATACACGGAGAAAAAAAGTAACTCCGGATGCTATGCCGAAGCCGACTACGCGGCACTCCCTCAATGCAAGGGCAGCGCTGTTTCGCAACGGGATAATAGACCTGGACCTTGCTAAGAATAAGAGCCAAACGGAGAAAACACACCGTGGCACGTTGACCGACCGACCGACCGACCGAATATGGCGTTGATCGTTTGATCCCCTTTTTTTTTCTCCTACGGCCTCGCCTGTTTGCATTGGCAACGCAGCAAAAAAAAAAATCCAGATGGGGAGATGATGCTCGGCTCCCGGCCCATGCCCGGCCCAGGTCGCTGCCTTGTGTGACCTCACCTGGCATCTCCTTCTAGAAGAATTCCGGGCAGGAAAGAAAACATGGAAAAAAGAACCTAGAAACGAAGCTACCGTTTCGGGTAGATGCTGGTGCAAAGCCGGTACCACTGCCTAATATGCGATACGGAGCCATCCAGGTCATATTTGAGTGGGCAGCAATATCAATCTAGGCCCGCAAGAGGACTAGCAAGATTGTAGCATGCAATGACGGGAAAAGAAGGGAATCCAAAGTAGCGGCTGGGCCTTTTCAACTGGGCACGATACGAGGCTCGTACTCGCACACCCGCTCATCAAATCCTGTATACAAGCTGCTACCACTCCGTATGGGATATTCCGCATTCCACTGTGCAATATATCATCGTGCCGCCTCCCCGGGACCTAAAAAAAGTCTCCTTTGAACGCTGGAGCTGAAAGAATCCTCGTCGCCCACCCTGCCACTGGGAGCAACAGAAGACAAGAGTCAAGGGAGTCAAGAGTCATGGAAGAGCAGCACCAGTATCCATTCTCCTAAGCTCCCCGGGGCTATCAGACCAGCCAACTCGGCCTAGCAGCAGCAGCAGCAGAGCTCCCGGGGAGCTGATCCCGGCACGACGGAAGGGCTCTGGAACAAACCAAACCTTGCAGGACCCTGCATATATGTTTGTTCCATAAGGTAGGCACTGTAAGGTACGGAGCATGTCGCTCTGGCAATGTCCATCAATTACTGTCTGCAGCACAGTACAGACAGGGGGAGGCAGGCTCTTTTGATGTAGTGCCAGTGCGGACTTGGCTCCACCGATGAGGCTCCCAGCACGGCGAAAACCGCAGCCCAGGCCGGGCGGGCACGCAACCAGGTACGCGGTGCCAGAAAAGCACGCCGTCAGAGCTTGGCCCGGGCCTGGCGTTATTTGCGGGTGGCGATGGATTGGACTGGATTCGGGATCTACTAGACTACAGGTAGCAGGCAGTAGTTTGGATCAATAGCATACATGTACAGTATGTGGCAGTACATACATGCATGCCGTCTCCATTAGAGTCCAAAAGGTGCCTGAGCACATGCACGCATATGCATGGAGAGCACGTGTCTTTGACGGCCACAAAGCTACTGCTAGCAGAGTTCCAGTATTGCATGTGGCATCACTGTCGACGAATGGCCGTTCCCAGGCTCATCTCCATCGGCATTAAGGTTCAAGCCCGGCGACAGCCTCCCTCAGGAACCTGCGACAAGACAAGCTCTTTTCGCTGCCCGGCAAAAGGTACTAGCAAGTAATGCGCCACCAGCCCAGCGTTTTGGGTCTGGCCGTCGCCGCGACCAGGCTCCAGCGCTCGCTACAGCACGTCCAATGCCGACTACATGCCCTGTAGTGCCCTAAAACACGACCCCCCGGAGCTTGTTCCCTTGCTGGCTCCACCCGCCGCACCGCCAACATGGATTTGCCAGGATCATCCCAGGCTCCACTTGTTCCAGGAACGAGACAACCATGGATGGGCTATTGTATCTTTTTCTTCTCTCTCTTTTCGTGCTACCCAGAAAAAGGAACGCTCTAGAGGCAAAAGAAAGATACTACACTCCCCCCCCCTTCTGACAGCTGCTGCCGCGGATAGGTACGTACCGCCAGTACCACCCCAGCCCAATCCACGGACGGGACCCTCCCTCCTTTTTTTTTTGTTCCCCTTCCAGCTGTTGTTTTTTTTGTTCCCCGGATTGAATTGACGTCTTTGCTGGCAGTCATATGGCGAGTTAGGGTACTTTGGCTCTGATGTCTGGTGTCTGGTGTCTGGTGTCTGGTTCCCCTGCTGCGTGTTGTTTCCCTTTCGTTCAAGCAAAGTGTTTGCATCTGAATGTAAAGAAAAGTACTACAGTAATGAAGAGCTCAATACAAAAAGCTGCTGCTTTCTCCCTCGCCTGACTGGCTTTTCCCCATGCTCTTCACTCACTCACGCCTCTGCCTTGACCACTCCTCGCTCTCTGCATTACAACTGCTCTCTGTCTCTCTCTCTGCAAAGATCAATCTCAGTTTCATCTCGTTACCAGCAAACTCAACTGCCCTTCCCCCAGTCCATCTCGTCTCGCTCATTACAGCCCCACACAACAACATCAACAAAAAAAAAAGAGGAGCCCTGCAGCGCGGCTCACCTTTGCATCGACCGAATACGGCACACACCCCAAGGATATCCAATATCCACACCAGTGTCAGGTACCCGTGTATTAGCGGCGTATCCGATTTCCTGCTAGGACACGACTCTTACACATACTTTTGGGCGGTTCCCGTTTAATTACGAGCTGCCCGTTCGTTCAAGGGCCCCTATTCCCACGCCTATTTGCAAGAAGCTTTTAATTCCTCTCGATTCCCGCTTCGGTTTCTTCTTTTTTTTTCGATCAGAACCATCATCCATCCTTTCCATCCTTTTGCCTTGAAGTTCCACTCATTACTGCGCCGGCGTTCCCAAAACAACAAAACCAGTCCACTCCTTTGGCTCTTATAACGACCTACCTACTACCAACCTGCCTTAATCTAATAGCCCTTTGGCAATCTTGACGCTCTCTTCACGCCCATCTACACCAGCACTTGACGTTTTCCCCAGTCTTTAACTTACCCTTTAATGTAAGTCTTCATCCACTCGTGGCTTTGGCTATTCACCCTCCATACTAATGCACTGCTGCTTAGATCTCCAACTTCACCAACATTCACAATGTCTGCCGAGTCCTGCTCCAAGCCCTCCAACTTCGGCCGTGGCGCCTATGACACCACTGGCCTCCCCAAGCCTCCTCCTCCTCAGCCTCAGTAAATGGCTGTCTGCCAGCACCGAGTGCGACCTGATCGGATCTTTCACAAAACTGGTTTTCGGATAACACGCTGTTTACGCCTCCACCCACACTCTCTTACTCTTCGACCACGAGGCTCTGTCGCAAGCGATGACAGCCTCCCATAATACTTTGATACTACTCTTAATTCGCACACTGTGGACTTGCAATACGGAAATTTATTTCAGACAACATTCGCCGTCGACAACGAAAGAACGCTTCGCACGATTTGACTCTTGGATCATTTGGTGTGATCTAGGACTTGCTTTTTACTTCCATGGGATTTTCACCAAAAAATTGGCGTTCTACATAGACGGACTTTTTGCTTGCGGGGATTCACTTCCCCATTTTCTCTCCTTTTCTTTTTCTTGCCCCCAGCGCACCCTTGGCAAGGGCGACAACAAACATACTGGAATGAACTTTCGATAAACTTTTCTGATGTCTTGAATCTCGATCTCGCATCTCCACTTCATTCCGGGAACCCCTTTGCTCACCATCCGAAATCTGGCTACGTCGATTTTTACATAATCAGCACCAAGGGATACCATACACACACACCATGCTGGCATCTGAAAGGGGAAAAAAGCAAAAAGAAGGATGGAAAATATTTTGGCTTCAAAATGGGAAATTTGGGTATTGATTTTTTTGTTGCATATAGACTTTTTGGGGACCCTACAGCCCAGGCTGTTTTTTCTTTTTTTTTTTTTGGGAAGATTTTCTTTTTCGTTTTCGGTTTACGATTCCCTTCGCAGGGAAACATCGTTTACCATCGCAAAGCACAAGCGGGGGAAAGATTGGGCATCACGACCAACAGGATACTATCTTGTTGGTTCCTGAATGCTGCTGCCTTTTGCTTTTTTTCCTTTTAATTTTTCATTGTACAATGAATCTCGGGGGTGGCAAAAGAAAAGAAACAAGTCTTTGGGCCGTGTTGGCAAATTTTACATGGTCTGAGCTGAAAGATGGCTTACGGAGGATACCCCCTTACTTGACAACTCTAGATAGATATATTATAGAATAGACTTTGCTACACAGCAATATTTACTGCTTTTACTTTTATAATTGCCTCTCGTTTGCGTATAATTTTGATTGGATTTGCCTTTTGCATTGCATTTAAAGTGCCTTGCTACGTTTATTTTCAGTAGAGTTAATCAACTTTTTCTTTTTGCTTTACTTTTTTGTGCTCGTCATATATCATTTTTTTTTGAATCGTCTCCCTACTTTTCAATTAAACTGCGTCATACAGACGGGATGACTTCAAGACGCGAGATTCACTACGGCAAGGGAAAAGGCTACAGGCGAGAGGCAGCCCACCTCAGATTGGGCGGCTAATAGCTGCTTGCTACACGCAATATGTGATGCGCCACCGAGACCGCGCGGCTGGGGAGGGTTTCTTTTTTATTTTCGATAGAACATTTTCAAGGGAGAAAGGTGTCACTGTAGGGATGAAGAGGAAGAGGAAAAAGGGCTTTAGTTGGTTGGACCCGGTCGGAGCTACTGTTTGGTTGGTGATTGATGGCTTCCCGCTCTCCTTTTTTGAAACCCGGGCAGCTCAGCTGATGTTAGTTGGGCGCTACCACTAAATCAATGTCCAGTTATTATTTTTTGTTTGCTTCTTCTTCCAAGAATCTTGTTAGATTTTGATTATTAGAAAAAAAAATAAAAATAAATGGGAAGCTTGCTTCCGAGATCCGGGGAAGTATGGCCTGCAGCAGGTCCAGCAACCACTTAAGCATCAGTGGCAAAGCTGAATGGGGGAGCTATTGGCTAGTTCCAGGATGCAACTGCACGATGGGCGATTTCTGATGCAAGATAGATTGGGGTGTGTGTGATTGTGTGGGGCGCATTTTGCTGGTGAATAAGGGAAAAGAAACGAGATGCAATGCAACGCATTGCAAAATTGCATCTACGCAAGATGTTGCCGTTTTTGTCTCGGGACGTCTCGATGTTGTAAGTGTACCTAGATTGAATCCTGCATGCATGTATGAGACTGTATCGGCTATCGACTGTAAATGCACGATGACACACAATAATTACAAGTATACTCTTTTTATGGATATGCACCATGTATTAGAAAGGCATGAAACATGCAACCATCTATTATGCTCTCTGCGCTGTGTGCTTATTAACAATGGAAACAAAGGTGGCTGGAAGCGAGCAATGCAGCTGTTTTGAGAAAGTTTTGGATTTTGCCGATGCCTACACAAGTACCACTGCAGGCGCTGAACGTTCAAGGTTCAGTTCAGTTCACATGGAGTCCTACAAGTACGTATCGCAATGCTGCATAATTCACCGTTGAGCGCAGAACTCAGGCCGAGAATGCGGTTCAACTAGAAATGTAATATCCATTTATAATGTAAACGAAATAACACAGAGAAAGGAAGGAAAAAGAAAAAGTCAATAATTTAGTGCTTTTGCAAGGCCGCTTTGAGTTTGCCTCCAATTCACCGAGGGCAGGGAAGCGGTTAACAAGGAACACACCAGAGACATGACAGCTCAGATTTTCATTTTGGTCAAAACGCCTCTCTTCCTTTTACCCATATTTTTGTTACTGTTTTGTATGTCTCCATCCACCCCAACAAGTTTCGGTTTCACATTTGCGTAGACGGGACTCGGGAGTCGACTCGCTGCGTAGCCGCTGTTTTTTCTTTTTTTTCTTTTTTTAACATGTCACTTGGTCCCCAGCGATTGTCGCACATTTGGGGAGAGGCTCCAGATCGGACGTATCAGATCCCCTCGCTTGTGCGCCGGCTGCAAAGTTCACCAACGGCTTCTGATTCCCTTTCCGTTTAACGAGCTGCTATTATAGTGTTACTTGTTGCTACGGCTAGTACTCATGTTAGGCGCAGCGGCTCCAGTGCCTGCAGCACTAGCATCGGCGTCAACAGCATCTCGTGTAGGCACATGTAGTGTGTCTGGTGCTGTTGGCTACTTACACGCCCCTGGCTGAGCCTCTTTCTGCCTGTATGTACGAGCAACATCTTGTCGGTATTACTCCGTACATCAGGCCGAGATGCTGTGACTCAGGATCCCGCCGTGTGCCGCGTCGCACAGACGATGGATCATCATCTCACTTACTGCTTGCGCTTCGACAACGTTGCCAAGGCCAACTACAACCTCGTCCTGGAATAGCTAGCCTGCGGGATTCGCTGATGCCTTGCCTCCATGATCCATCCAACAGCTCGTTGTTAGACGACGGTAAGCTCGGGATAAACATCGCTAACACGCACTGGTTGTCAGCCCAACTGGACTGCTGTAAGTATGCACTTCGGTAAGGGGAGCCGACTCACGTTCGTCGCTGCAGCGGCATCTCCCTGCGCACTCTCTCTAGCTCGTCCAGGTCAATGTCCACGAAGCCAACCTCCTCCACGGCCCCGTCTGCCGCGTTGCCTTCCGCATCCGCCACGCCCTTGAGGCAGAGCAGCACTTTGCCCCATGGGTCAACAACCATGCTGCGGCCGTAGCTGGCTCGCTTCTCGTTGTGGCGGCCGACCTGGGCTGCTGCGACCACGTAGCTCTGCGTCTCGATGGCGCGAGCCCGGAGTAGCGTCTCCCAGTGAGCTTCTCCCGTACGCAGCGTAAACGCACTGGGATACGTGATGATTTGCGCCGGACGGGCCGCCCAGGGACTGCTGCGACCGGGCTGGGCGAGGGCGAGGGCTGTTTCGGGGAAACGCAAGTCAAAGCAGATTAGGCTGCCTATCCTGCCGACGGGAGAGTCAACCGGAGCAGTGAACTTTGTGCCTGGCTGGACGGTGGCGCTCTCCCGGAGGGCCCCATAGTCGAATACGTGCAGCTTGTCGTACGTAGCCGAGTGCTGTATCATGCCGTCCGAGTTGATATACAACGCCCGGTTCAGGATCTTGCGCGTTGGCTGGTCGGCCTCCTGACCCAACACGGTGTCGTGAATGCCGACATGGACGGCAATGGAGTGGGCCTTTGCAGCGGCTCGGAGGCCTTGGACAAACGGAGACGACGCTTGCGGGACGGCTAGATCTAGTGAAGCCTGAGCATTGGCAGCGATGTAGTCTGATGCTTCTGGGAGAAAGAGAACCTGAACGGCATTTGATCGTCAGCTTGGCCCAGGCCAAATAGAGGCGAATCGTAGACATCAGCTTGGTTATCTGAAGATGATGAGCTAGTAATTGGAGGGAATGGAGATGACGCAGAGCAGGATGAGGCCAGCGGCAATCTCTCCGGAGCTCTCTTGTCTCAGTCATGAGCACAACATTCCTCACCCCCCAGAGACATGCTTGGTACACACTGGGCAAGGTGAGACTACCAAACAATATCCCCCTTGCAGAGTATCTCGCGATCGGAGACAGTCTCACTAGAGTCTCAGCATCTAAGACGAGATTGTTGCCAGCAAAGGGATGTCTGTAGTAGGAGTACTAGTAGTAGTATCATTTTGTAGGAGTGGTGTTGCGGAGACAGGAGTAAATACGGGGTATGTATGAGAGAGTTTCTGAGGAGAGGGAGAGAGCCATACTTGAGCTCCGCCAAGAGCCGCCTTGGCAACCAATCTCACACACTGGTTCAGATTTGCGGTGATTGACCCGGTGGAGCAAATCTGGCCGACAGCCTGAATGAAAGCCGTGGGTAAGTTAAAACTGGCTCTTTTTACTGTCTCTGCTGTAAGAGAAAGATGCAGAGTGATCAAGACGTACTGCGATAGCCATCGCTTGTGGTGCGTATAGCTGGTGAACTGACACGGCTGGTTTGGTTGATGGATGAAGATTATGGATATGAAATTGCAAATAGATGATTGGTCTTATGATTGGTCTTATTTGTTGATTGACTGAATATGCGAGTAGTTGTAGTAGTATCTGCTGAATAAGAGTTCATAGAGACGAATTGAAGCTATAAGTTGATATTCTTAATTGGCGCAATGTCGCCATGTCATTGCATAATCGAGGCACATGTGTAGCGTGCAAGTAGGTCTATCGTGCATGTGTGTGCTTTGGTAATGCTTTAGAGGCATCTGAGCACGTGAGATACTTTAGACTTGATACGTCCACCGGCTTCAATTTATCAATCAGTGCAAATTAAACAATAAAGAGCAGTTTATCAAATTCAGGTCCTCAATTGATCGCTCTATTGTTACACTGTTATCTTGCATAATGGGGCAGCACTCAGCTTACGACACGACAGGATACGATACCCCGAATCCATAGCCCCTCATTTGCAGCGGAAAAATAAGCCACAGGTCGTATCCGAGCAATGAGGCAGGTAGATGGCAAAAAACCTTAGTCCAAGCCTCATCTTTATTCATCCTCCGCATTCATCAGCTTTTCTTTTCGCATGACCCAGTTGCGGAGAAACATCCATCGGACGGTGATTCTTCCATCATGATGGAGCTGTGAGGATTGCATTTACATTCAGTTGTTTGCCATTGTTTATTACAATTACTTGTAGCTGTTTCTTATAGGCGATATTGCGCTCTACTCTCATCAAGCGACCTGCTCAGGCCAGATTCAATCGTTGCTCGTTTATTATGTTTTCACTACTACTTCATCGCATCCTCCTCCTCTTAACCATCGTCTCAGCCACGCCCTCGCAGTACTGCCTCTTCGGCCTCCCCCGCAATGAAGTCGACTTCTGCATGGCCGTCTCGCTCTACCACAACCACTCGACGGAGGCTCACGATGTCCACCTCTCATTTGCCATGCGGCGATCTCCTTCCAACGGCTCCTACGCACTAGGATGGACCGCCATTGGCGCAGGCTCCCAAATGGCCGGATCCCTCATGTTTGTGCTCTACGGCGATCCCGCATCGTCCGACGGTCCTGTCAAGCCAACGCTCAGCGTGCGGACCGTCAACAAGGGCCACGCACTGCCGCAGCTCATCGCCCAGGACGGAGCCGCCAAGGACCTGGACGTGCGCATCTCCGAGACGAAATGGTCCATGGCCTATTCAGATGAAGACAGGCCGATATACGTGGGTTCGGCGTCTGTCGTCTGCTACGCCTGCTCCAAGTGGCCGGGCACGGAAATCAATCCCGAGACGGCCTCGCAGCCGTGGATCTGGGCGTGGAACAAGCAGCAGCGCATGAGGGGCTTTTCGACGGACCAGCAGCTGGAGATGCACACGCTCATTGACGGCTACGGCCACTTCTACGTCGACATGGAGGCGGCGACTTCGCACAGGGCCACCGGCCCTCCGGCCTTTGTCACCGGCAACAACTCCAACATTGGCACGTCTGACCGACCCATGGAAGAGACCAAGACGGGCCTATGGCAGAAGCTCATGTCGCGGCCTCTCGCCCATCTCCACGGCTTCTTCATGATGGCTGCCTTCTTGGTCTTGTTCCCCGCCGGTGCCGTGGCCATCCGCTCCGGATCGGACAAGTCGTTCCGCTTCCACTGGGTCATCCAAGTCGCCGGCCTCGTCTCAGCCTTTAGCGGCGCAGTCCTCGCCATCATCATGAGCGACAGAGTCTTCGGCTCGCCTCACCAAATCGCCGGCGTGGTCATCTTCTCGCTGCTCTTCGTCCAAGCCCTTCTCGGCTGGCGGCACCACATGGACTTTATACGCATCTTCCGCCGCACGTGGATCTCCTACATGCACGTCTATCTCGGCTTTGTGATTCTCCTGGCTGGTTGGGCAAACGTAATAAGCGGCCTCGTGCTGTACGGCTTTAGCAAAGTCGGCACCGTCATGATTGGAGTCTTGATTCTGCTTGAGCTGCTGGGCGTGGGCGGATGGTCATTTCTGGCGAGACGGCGCTCTCAGGCTAGAGATTCGGGCCACAAGGAGACACCAGAATCTTCGGCGGCGTACTTTGCTTTGGATGATATCCCGGAGAGTGACGAAGAGGATGATGTGCCGGAAGACAGGGGGCTTATGCACAAGGGAGATGGACGAAATTGACCCGGTTACATGCTTTTGGGAGTTTTGATGATATAGCATGTGTTTTACGCAAGACTTTGTATTTTGCTTCCCCTTTAGCACTGAATGAGGAAGAACTTGGATAATGAGATGCCATGACATTCAACTAACCTAGTGTAATGAGACAGACGAATGATTCTCTATTGGCAAAATAAGACCAAAGCAGCGATCCATTCTACAAGTTGATGAAAAAGGGCCAGGTTTTATGGCCCAACACATTCCACTGAACTTGTCAACTGCTAGTTGACTTCCCTTTGGAATTAGACACAATTCATCTTCACAACTCATCAACGTTTCAAAGTCAAAGCTCGTCTATTCGGAAGCACTCTTGTCATACTTCACTATATATCTCATCGACTCTGCTTCCTGTCCCAGTCCAAAAATAACCTGCGAGCTTTCATACCGCGTCCCGAAACCATAAATCATAATCACATGCCTATAAATCAGGGGGCACATTTCATTCCATCCTATTAGCCCATCCATTCATTCAGATGATATGTACGTTAAAAAGATGGAGAAAAAAAAAGGAAGAAGAAAAAGAGAAGACGCATTTCTCCCGCCAAACCCCC